CAATGTCGTTGGAATCACTTTTAGAATTTTTTTTTTTTGATGAACAATAAAAACATTGACATCCATTCAGAATCCACCCGTCTATAAAGCAACCAGTGCAAGCATTTAAAGAGGCAGTGGCAAAACTCCAGTGTGCGTTTATATTAAAAAATGTTATCGCGCTTGGTGTGAACGGGCCTTGAAGTGGTTTCTAAACCTGCTCTCATCCTGAGGGTCCTGTAGTTGTAAGAGGGCCTCTGAACTAAAGAAGGGCATCACATTGGCTGAGTTGTGCTGAAGTGCTACTGTTAAAGCCTGGCAATGTTTCACCATCACAGTCCTGGCGAGGGAGGAATTAGTCCCAGTTTTGTCACAGTCCTCTTCTTCCATCTCGGGAGGCAATCCCATCACCACCACGAGCTTCATATCCATTCGCTGCAGGAAGGAGAGTCCAAAGGCCAGGCTCTGAACCATCTCACGACTATCAAACACTGATGTGTCAACCTGAGGAGGACAACACGGATATCAGCTTCGGATGTCTATTTGAAATGTCATGACCCCAAGGAACAACCGCGTGTTTCAGCTGCCATTAAGGTTTTTACAAAATACCTACAAACACAACAAACATCACTGTTATTTATCATTTAGACTATGTTGGAAAGAGTCCGCTTCTATGAAGAGCTCAGATTTCTGCAGCGTATTGCATCCTACCTAAGGTTAATTTAGTTTGACCAGTGATCCTGAAACAGAAAAGGGCTTCAATTGTCTGCAGAGTCAACAAACCCACTGAAAGGATATGAACACTCGTGCACAATTTGAGCAGCAGCATAGATGACAAGTCGGTATAGTCTTCACATAAAATGTTCAAGTTTGGCTTCTGATTAAACCAGGTTAAATATGCCACTTGAGACTATTTAACAACATATATGATTTTTTTTAATTGATCAATAATTATACAGGCCTATGTAGCTGTTTATACAATTAAAATAAAAATGGCCTGCATTGAGATTTTAGTATTTACGCAATCACTGTGAAAAATATTGTTGGATTAACTTCAAAAATGAAGTAACCTGGCTGAGTTAAATTTAAGTTCAATGAAATAGACAAATTTAGTTAATACAATAAAGGTGATTGATTTAATCATCAGAAACTTAAAATATTACGTTATTTGACTTATTAGAAATAATGTTGCAATTACAAATAATGAAATATTTTTTGACAGTGTATATACATATGAGTTATGGTCTTCACATTGAATTAACTTAAATATTTAAGCACAGATAAATTAATATGCATTTAAAGTTGACTCAAATTTTCCAATTTATATATTGTTGCATTTACTTAAGAACAAGAAGTAAAATATTAAAACAAGTTATTGCTTCACAAATAGCTTGATTAAGGTTTGATCCCTTACATTTCACAGCTTAACTTTATAGGCTAACCACATGAACAAAATACAATTATAACTGTTTGAAGAGTCAAAGTATTAACTAGCAGTATAAAAGTATAGTCTTAAATTGTTATTTTATAAGCTATTAAGAGTCTTAGGTTGAATTGGATTCATTTTAAATGAATCGATTTAAATATATATAAAATACAAAAATGCATCAACAATATAAGCTAATTTTCAATATAAAACAAACATTATTATAATACAATTTATCAATAATTGAGATATCAGTTATTATTGTTATTAAAGCTCTTTTTAGAAAAGAGCTTTAAAAAAAGCATATAGGCCTATAATATAGGCTAATTCGTCAAAAATTGTCTTGTATATTCTTACTTTGGTCTCACTACACGCACCTGCAATACCGCAAACACTGGAGATAACCCGGCCCGCTGAAAGTGTGTTAGCCAGTACCGAGCCTCACGTGGATCACCTCCAATTTGATTGAGAAAAGCCTTGACGTCTCTGTAGATCAGCGTGCGGTTGGACCAGAGGTTGAGCTCGCTCGGGGAGGTGTAGCTGGGGAGCTCCTGTAGGGTGCACGCCGGGGTTCTGCTGCCGTGTCCCGCAGCACTGGCTGACCTCAGGCGCAGGTTCGCTGGGACAAGTCTCCGCTGATAATGACCGCTCCTCTGCTGACTCAGGGCTGACGGTTTCGTCCAAAACTGGTCGGCCATGATGACCATGGCCCTGCAGCCGGACGAACCGCTGTTGACTTTGGCCATGAGTTGTGCAGAGGAATCTAATGGCCCCTGTAGCTTTACCTGGCTTCAGCTGACCACAGATTTGGAGGGGTGAATATGGTCTAGGCGAGGACACGTGGCTGAATCAGCTGTCAGGAGCTCCCGTTGTGTGCAATAGAAAATAAATTATAACTAGTTTAATTGAAATCAGTGCTACGATGCTGAATAAATGTAGGCTACACAATATTTTTTTGAAGAATGATACTCTGCTATTTTTACAGTAAGGAAAATTGGGGGATAAAATTTATATTTACAAAATACAATTATGTTGTTCAATGAAAACTTGAACTCATGTCACCCGAGCTGCCCACAAGGCTATTGGCACCGAAGATAGGACATTACTTTCAACTTGACTGCAATGTTTTCAATGCATTTTACCTGTACATATACTGTATGAAGCTGTATACTGTATACCAGCATTTTCAGTTTGCATATTAGCTAAATATTTAGTTTCACCCGAAACATTTAGATTCAACATTTATATTTATATTTAACATTTACATGTATATTTAACATTTCTATTTCTATTTAACATTTAGATTTAGATTGAACATTTACATTTAACATTTAGATTTAACATTTAGATTTGGATTTAATATTTGGATTTAATATTTAGATTTAACTATTTAAAATGTCTCTAAGTTGACAAATATAGATGTAAATGTGCTAAAAAGTGACCGTCAAAAATTCATACCAGTTTTTTAAACATAGATTGAAGCTAAATGTGACAAAATGTTGTTATTTTCAGAGTTAGCCACTTTACAAACAGCGCCCCATCTGCTAGCGCTGACTGCCAGGTCATTACTTCTTGCATGTAGAGGAGACGGAGTGCATTATGACACCACAGCCCATTTACACAAAGGACGATAACAATATAGGCCTAATTTTAAAAATCATTATAAATGTGAAAGAATAGCATGAACAGAGTCCCCATTACAATAAGAGCAATGTCGTTGGAATCACTTTTAGAAATGTTTTTTTGACGAACAATAAAAACATTGACATCCATTCAGAATCCACCCGACTATAGACCATTTCACAAGACGTAAACAACACTAGTCCAGAAGCACTCCCTGTTTCAGTTTGTAACTGTTTTCTTTATTTCACATGTAAAGAAAACATCTTAAAGATGTTTGTTTAACTTTTTGATTCAGTTTTATATGTTCTGTTGGTTGTATTTTATCCCAGCTCTTATGTAGTGTTAAAAAACTGAAACAGGAAGTGCTTCTGGACCAGTGTTGTTTACATCTTGTGAAATGGTCTATAAAGCAACCAGTGCAAGCATTTAAAGAGGCAGTGACAAAACTGCAGTGCGCGTTTACAATAAACAATGTTAATGTGCATTGGTGTGGACGTTAAGTTATCATTTATAGTTATCTAGCCTAGGTGTATACGACTTTCTTTTTTCAGATGAATAAAATAGGAGTATAATAAACACCCTGACGCTTCCAAGCTTTATAATGGCAGTGAATTGCACCATCAGTTTGAAGCTCAAAAAAGAGCATCCACCCATCATAAACAAACTCCACGTGGCTCCGGGGGATTAATAAAGGCCTTCTGAAGCAAAGCGATGAGTTTGTGGAAGAAAAATATTTAAAATTTTATAAAGTTCAATAACTTGCTTTTGGCCAAATGAACATAAGGATTCAACTTAAGTGGAAAGCGCACTTTTTGTGCTTGATTTAGTACTTGTTTTAAAACAGATCGATACAATAACCTAAATGGCTTCCGTGCAATGATACTAAATCTGTATCATGAAATTATGATTTGAAAGTTCAATAGTTTTGAAAGTGGTGCTTGAGGAACCATGCACATTAATTGATGTATCATCCTTTGACAGCAGTTGCAGAGAATTAAGCTTTTAGGCTTTACAGCCAACCAGAAGGAAATTAAAGTAACAGTCCGTTTTGGGCTTACAAGGACACATGATGGCTTTTGGCAGAATGTGTCCTTGTGTCCTTTTGACATGGTGGCAGAAATGACTACTGTAGTAATGAAATATCTTCCTGGTGATCACCTCTGTTTAGCTGTAGATCTTTTAACTGTTATGCTGACATAGAAGCCTGTCTAAAATCCTTTTCATGAGGTACCGTCGCACACAAATACTGCATCTAAAGTCAATGCCCGATAAGGCAGCAGGCAAGTCACTGCCTACATTTTCAGGCGCAGGCAATGAGTTGTCAGAAGCGGTTAGTAAATACAATTTAAATGTATCAATATATTTAGTTTTTATTGTACTACGGAACATAATTATTAACATATCCTATTGAAACAGTATAAAACATCAAGATTACCACTAAGGGAAAGACTTATGTCATTGTTAAGACAAGACGAGATATGAGAGAGAGAGAGAGAGAGAGAGAGAGAGAGAGAGAGAGAGAGAGAGAGAGAGAGAGAGAGAGAGAGAGAGAGAGAGAGAACAAATCAAAAGTAATATATATATATATATATATATATATATATATATATATTAGGGCTGTGCAAAAATTAATTGCGATTAATTGCATCCAAAATAAAAATCTGTGTTTACATAATATATTTGTGTGTGCTGTATATAATTATTTTGTATATATAAATACACACACATGCATGCATATATTTAAGAAAATGTGTTATTCATATATAAAATATTTATATTTATATAATATAGATTATGTATTTATAAATATATACAGAATTTCAGTGCAAATAATTCTTAAATATATACATGCATGCATAGGTATTTATATACAAATTAATTATATACAGCACACACAAATATATAATGTAAACACAGACTTTTATTTTGGATGCGATTAATCGCAATTAACTTTTGCACAGCCCTAATATATATATATATATATATATTAACAAAACAGCCTTGCCATTTTATGTAAAGGTAATGAAAGAGTTGAAGGTAGCTTTTGACTTTGTAAGTGGCAAAGAGGATGTCTAGTTGTCTACATTAATATAATTCATAACACATACACAACTAATTGGTTAGCTAGCACAGATTGTAATCTGAAAACATCCCATATTAGAAAGATTTAAATCAGATTCAAGTTACCAATACTTTTATCCAAGTTTTGCATTATAAGAATCTCAATTTCTATCACCACATGAACTGTCGGGAAAAGAGGCCAAAGCAAGACCGTGTCTGTATTTTCAATCTGTATTGTCCTCCTGTGTAAGTCACCTCACTGCTCTTGCGGTTCCCCCTCATTCTGTTCCCAGTATTTTCTCTTGCGTTTTCTCTCCGCCATGACCAAGGCACCAAAGACAGTCACGATCACAGTAGCAGTGATGACTAACACCGTAACAGTCTCAGCCACACACAACTGGCTGTCCACCCAAGCCAAAGAGGCTCCGGCAAGCTGCCAGGGCTCCCGACATGTTATGTTGTGATAGTCGTCCACAAGGAGGTGCCTCACACTAAGCAGCTTGCTGAAGACACGGTGCAGGTCGCAGTCACAGTTCCACGGGTTCCCAGCCAACTGCAGGTGCGTAGCAGGCGTGTGCAAGCTCAGCAATGTCTTGAAGTTCAGGTGTTCCAGATGATTCGCCTCCAAGCCCAACAAAGAAAGACTGTGCAATGGTGCTAGTGCATTTACCTCGATCCGAGAGATGTTGTTGTTCCCCAGGAGCAGAACTTCCAGTCCGGGCAGCATGGTGAAGGATCCGTCTCGCAGAACACCCAGGCGGTTCCCTTGGAGGTAAAGGTGGCGCAGGCGGGACAGACCACGGAACGCGCCAGGTTCAACAGATTGGATACGATTGTGGCTGAGGTCCAGCTTCACAAGGTTTTCCAGATGTTCTAGGCCTGCAGGTTTCAACAGCACCAGTGCATTGTGGTCCAGCCGCAATTCACGCAGGGAAGACAGGCTCTCAGAGAAATTAGGAGGGATCTTAGTGAGGTTGTTACGACTCATGTCCAACTTCTCCAGATAGGACAGAGAGAAAAAAGCCTGTGGGGAAACAGACATTTGGGTAAACGTATATACAGTAGAGGTTGAACGACTGCACATTTTTTGAAGTCGATGTTTATCTGACTTTATCGACTAGTCGCTGATGATGTCATTGATGCACAAATAAGCCTGAACCTTGAGCTGAGGCCCTGTTTACACAAGAACGCTCGTGGGTAAAAACGTACAAATATTTTATCGGATGTGCCTTTCGTTTACACGGCGACAGCGTTTTTGGGGCTTAAAAACGCAAAAAAGTAAAACCACCGTCCTGAGTAGAAATCTTAAAAACGCTCCACCGCTGCGTTCCCGTGTAAAGGGTAAAAAACGCAAAAGTCTGCTAGACAGGGAAGGTTGTACGCAGGTGCACGGACTTAGTGTTGTTGTCTGGCAGTGCTCCACATCGCCACCTAGCTGCCTGGAGCGCACACATAAAATTTTACACACTTTTGCGTCATCATATGCACACGGATTTCCCACCCATAACACTCGTCTAAACGCAGAATAAAAAGTGACAACGCAACGCCACTTTTGCGTTTTCTCCCTCAGATTGTACCGTGCACACAGCCTGAGACTCGAACATGTTGCTTTGTGCACAGCAATGGCATATGATGACACAGCGCTGCCCACTAGACTATTGCTCCAACATAACAGCTTATTATTTATCAGTTCTTTTGTCATTGGGTCATTATATTTCTCACAGATTTCTGCTCTTTCTGAATCAGATACAGATAAAGTAGCAATTTTGTAATAATTTTGGCCTGTGTTTTAGTTTTGATTTTGGCTTCCAGCGATTATGAAAACATGATTCCGCTCTCCGTTCCTTCCTTTAAAGCGGTGTGCTGGTGGTACCCATACCTAAAATCCAAATAAGCCGAATGATCTAATGCCATTGAGCGGCGAAAGGAGTCTTTCTGCCCGTGCGATCCAAGATGGAGAGAAACACGGACAAGTACAGGCTTTGGGCTTCGTGTGCTTATGGACAAATACATGCAAAAATGTCAAAATGTCTGTCTTGGGTCCTTAGTTACTTCAGTGACATAACAGCGGGGAAAGTAATCAAATGCTTGTTAGTTTAGGTCTTAAAGTGACAGCAGCCTAATAAACCTTCTGCTCTCTCTGTCATTTAAATGTTGATCAAACAACAAAAGAAAATGAGAGAAAAGTCACGCTCTTCTCTGAATAATTAGTAACTTTAATAAGAATCATTTTTTTATTTAATTCATATTGTGATGATTATGGAACATTTTATTTTTTAAATTGTTTTCCATCTGATTACTTTTTTCCATTTGATAAATTGAAGTGAGCGTCCGAGTAAAGTCTGCGCGAGCCACGCACACTGTATCCATGCAACTGACAGCAGCGGCAAAAAAAGCGCTCGGCTTGATTTAAAAAACAAAACATTTTAAGGCTAGATCTTTTATTTAAGAGGGAACTAAATTAATGGTCTGCTAGTTAACTGGAGATGTTTTATTTGAATTAGGTACATCCGTGCCTTAATGTTTCCAAAAATGGTGAGTACAAAAGGACTAACGAAATCTGTTGGGGAGGCGTGCCCCCACCGAAATTCCCACCGAAATCGACGCCTATAAGTGTATGCTAACGTTAGCTTTTACGAAGATATCCTTTAATCCTTCCCTAGGAAAAGTGTTGAACATCTTCTGGTCAGGTATGAAAAATATTTTAACTTCATGCCAAAAGTTATTAGCCACAATGAAGCCAAAATGACAGTTGACATTTCAGCACTCATTGAACGGACAGCGACTTAAGCACGTAGGCTACTTGTTGTTTCGCAGTAATGTTTTTCTTTTTTATTTTTGGTAACGCACAAACGTATTATTGTAAACGTTTTTCCACTACATAATAATTCATTTTATTAGCATAAAATGAAAAATCTTTAACATCCCATGAAGGGAACATTTTACCTCCACAAATATTTCTTAAAATGGTCTTCGCACGACGAAAAAAAATGGTTCTTTCAAGTTAGGTTAGGTCCCTCTTTAGGAACCTTTATTTTAAAGAGTGTAAAGAACAAATAGTGCAATGTATGAAAAGGTTCCCTGAATGTTAAATGTTCTTCAAGGAATATGGCCATAAAGACCTTTTATTTTTGAGTAGGCTTAGGCTAGCCCATGGATTTAATAAATGCGGTCCTACCTGCGAATGAAGAACCTGGATGCTGCTGTCCGAGAGCACTAGAATACGTAAAGACCAAAGGCCAGCGAAAGCTCGACTCCGGATCTCCGTAAGCTTGTTTCCTCCAAGGTCTAGGAGCCAGGTGCCGTGGGGAAGTCCATGTGGGATATCCTCAAAACCCCTGGCATGGCAATCCACCAGATCTGAGTGTTCATAGCACTGGCAGAGGTGACACAGTCTTGAGCTCCTCGACGGAGAAAGAAAGAGTAAAAGCATCGCGACAGAAGGCAACATGATGTGATGACAGATTCAACAGATCTACATGGAGCAAAACGTGAAATGTTTGATCAGGACGATTCACGGAACCTCAGCTTTTGGAAGAGGAGCGAGATCTCTGTGATAAACGGAGTTGCATTTGTTTCAGTATATCAAAACAGACTTTTACAGATCAGCAGAATATTCGCAGTCTGTTTCAGTGCAGCTGAAATGTCTGTCAAAAGCACTTAATCGCCTTAAAACCATATGCGACTCAATTTATAAGCCCCACACGGTCACAGTGTGTGGACTAGTAGAAGCATACAAATAATCTGAGTAAAAACAGTTATAGTCTAGGCTACTGTATTCTTTCCTCCACTAAATAGCCTTCTTGTCAGCTTCTCAATTACTCCGGCTCCACACACTCTTTTTTACAGTCTGCTCCACACCAAGACAGGCAGCAGACAAAGTGATGAGAAGACAGACTCACTTCCGCGAATCGGTTCTTTCAAAAGAACCGGTTAAAAACAATCAGGGATTCTTATACGTTTTATAATGACCTACCAGTTCAGTTGGCTGCACCCATTATTCAGTAAAAAGTACTAGGCTAATTTGAAAAGAATAAAATTATTTGTGCTTAAAATTTTGTTTGTTTTAATAAATCATTTAAATGTATTAAAATTTGATACAGGCTATTTAAATATGACTACATGTTTTCATTTACTCAAAGAATGTGGTCACAAATCGTGTAAACATTTCCAGAGCGGTATTTGTAACAATCAATTTCAAACGATTTAAGCGAAAGATTCAAACGAAAAGATTCGACTCAAAAGAACAATTTGAGGTCACTCTGAAGGGCAGGGCAGTGGGCAGCTGTCACATTTGGTCAATCCAATAGCCTACGTTTTAAACCACGGATATACTTGTAGGCATATAACGTAGCCAACTTTGTATTTTCTTTTTATTTAAAATAACTTTATATACAATTCGTAGTGTCCAATGTGATTTAATTACGCACAATAACCTCAGCCAAATTCGTGGATGTTTAAATTTAGAAATATATCAATGCCAGACGAGAGATTATATAACACAGAATTACTGCTTTAAATCCCCTGAATTTAGTCTCAAATGGATTTTTAAAGGCGCAAGCGGATTACGCAATGGTTTCAGTTTTTAACCCATTTTGAACGGATCCGTCATATATACCGACTTAAAGAGACAGTATACCCGAAATAAAGTCATTATTTACTCACCATTAGACACCCATAGTCTGCTATATTTTTTAAAGTTATGCACGAATGAAAGCCTCCCTCAGTCACCAATCATTTTGGTTTTTATATGACAAAAAATAACATCAATGATTCTTGACTTAAACAGACAGTCCCTTCTATTATTTCTGGCGTTTCTTTTTTGTTTCAAGTAAAACCCCATTACATTTGAGTTAACGTGCCAATGTGGCTAGCAGTCCCAACACCCCAACACCATGTGCGATGTGGGGCAGGGGCAGAAATACGAGATCATGTGGGTTTAAATAATGCATATGTTTGTACATGAATAATTGAAAAAGCCTCAACATTAATCATTCATTCCAGTCAATGGCATATTTTGTCTGTAAATATTCATTCAAACTCATTAAACGGCAAGGGATCCCCTTTGATTCATTGAAAATGAGTCACCATCTTATTCTGTCCCCATTATGTTACCATAACATAATATGGGATTACTATTAAAGATGCAGTGGAAGACAACCAGTTGACTCAGACCACTACAAGAAGAGGGATTAAAAACAAGACAAATCTCACTTTTCTCTTTTTTTATTTCTTCATAACTATTTAAAATAAAAAATAAAATACTGCGAAAGAAACCTATAGGCGAACAGCATCCTTGTCAACACAGCGATATAAACTGGTATGCAACCCGGATACACGTCACAGCTTGGCGCCACTCCTTGAGCCTCAATCAGGCTACGAGGTTCACAAGGCTGGGATGGGGAGGATTTCGGCTTTGAGCCAGTGCCGCCCATCCCAGTCTCTTAACATGGCAAGATTTCACTTTAACATTTATTTTTCCCAAAACAGGCGATTACAAATATTCCCGTTCAGAAAGAGATCAGTTCTGTCGCTAGAGATGAGCATGATATGAGCCGTCTTACGCCGACACATATCTGAAGAAAATTGACCGTCGCTGGAATAACGAAGGAATGCAAAAAGTCAAAGAGAGGCGTGAGTCTCTCATTGGTCACTGCATGTACCCTTCCAGTTTGGATGTGTTTGGAAATAATAATACAAACAAACATTGCATCATAGAAAATGGTCCCACTATGGAAGAGGTATTCAAAATGGCAAGTACAGGACCAATATGGAAGTAAATGACAAAAAAAAGGATAGCGCCAAGTAGTCTTGGCTCTCCATTTCTCTCTTGGTCAACTGCACCCGGAGCTGAAGAGACAACAAGACCACGTTCTACAAGTAAACTGAAAGGATGCTTACAGCACTCAAGAGTGTTACTCCTTCGTCTATCACTTAAAAAGTGACAAAAGTAAAAAAAAAGAAAAAAGTTTTATATAAAAATAAGATGTTGGGTCGATGCTAAGTGCAATTCAGTTTCCAATGCTGTGCCTTCAGCCCTCAATAATTCTAAACCTACAAAATAAACTCCGTATTTGCTGCTAAAGAAATCATACAATAATTATCCAGTCTACCTTAAGAAAATTGTTTTTGTTCCACCCTCACACCCTTTCTACCACTAAAAAATGTGGCACAACGCAAGATCATGGATTTGAACTGAAAATGTGATTTTTTTTTGGTGGCTAACCAAATGAGATGAAAAACACATGGGCTATTTAATAAGAGGAGGAAAAAAATGAGAGACCCAGCATGGTAGGTTTAGTGAGTTAATGATGTTGGAAAGCATGTTTTCTATATGAAATGATATTCTAAGACAGCACTCTATTTTTGCCCTCTCTTTTGTAAATGGAAGCATTTTTCTCTTCAGATGTGGACCGTCGTCCCTGCTCAAAACGCTGAGTATCAGCTATCTCAACCTTTGTCTGGCAATTGGTTTAAAAAAAAAAAAAAAAAAAAAACAACATCAGAAATTATTAATTTAAAACAAACAACACTTTCTTTGTCAGCATATTGTTTCCTCTCTCTGAGCCTGGGCTCATGATGATAAAGCAGAGTCCTTCTGTGTTTGTTGAGCTTGTTGTGAATGCGGCACTGATTTTTGGCTCTCCACATCCCGAAAATGTTTCTCAACCTGTGGACAAAATACAAAGGTTCGCAAAGTAAAACACCTCACAATAATATAATTGTTATTTATAAATCAACAAGATTTTTTGTTTAGAAATGCTAATAACTTGTATGTCTGTAAATTCCTCAGGAAAATGATTCTAAGGGTTATTAGTTCACCAAAAAAATGTATATTCTGTCATTAACTACTTACTCTCAAATCGCTCCAGACCCGCAAGTCTTTCGTTCATCTTCAGAACACAAATGAAGATATTTTTAATGAATTCTAAGAGCTTTCTGTCCCTCCATAGACAGAAACACAACTGACACTTTGACTTTTGCTTTGCGGGCCATTAATGCAGCGAATCACTGATAAATCCGAAGCACTAACTCGCAGTTATAATTAAATACACTGGGTGGCGCTGTGGAGCGTGTTAACAAGTTGATTGTTTTTGAACACATAATGTCTTTGTCTGACTCGAGAAGTTTGGAATTACTTTTATTATCTTACTAAATTACAAAATTGAATTACTTTGAATCAAATTAATTAATTAAACTGATTTATCATAATCTCAACACCACCACAATGAGAAATTTCAATAAATCCAAGCAGCAGTCGAATGAGGAAAGAACCCTAGTTTTACCCCGAGGGAATCGTGATCCGAGATGATAACATATCTGATAGCAAAATGATTGAGACCTATGCTTCTTTTAGGTATTTATTAGGGCTGTCAAATGATTAATCACATCTAAAATAAAAGTTTGTGTTTACATAATATATGTGGGTGCACTGTGTATAATTATTTTGTATATATAAATACACACACATGCATGCATTAAGAGAAAAAATATTATTTATTTATAAAATATTTATATTTATATGTAAAATAAATTATATATATAAAGCTATATACAGTATATACATGAAAATATTTCTTAAATATATACAAGCATGTGTGTGTATTTATATATATATATATATATATATATATATATATATATATTATACACAGTACACCCACATATATTATGTAAACAAAAACTTTTATTTTGGATGTGATTAATCACGATTAATCATTTGACAGCTCTAGTATTTATCTATTATTCACATTTAAAGGAACCGTATGTACGATTGTGGCCAAAACTGGTACTGTAATCACTTTCAAATTACTGTAGAGCGGTGTATTCCCTCCCCCCTGATTGGAGGTTGCCAATCCTTACAAATCCTTGTTTTATTTCAGACTTTGTCACGAAGTATTTCGGAATCATAACAAGGTTTTTTTGGATTCGTAACGTTGGACATTTTTTTTATCCGACACATTTGTAGCTGCAGCTGTGGTCAATAGAGCAGAGCTGGCAACTCGGATGCCACAACACTACTGACTCCGTGACTGGTCGATCGGTGGAGGGTGGAGCATCAGACCAAAACACAACATGACAACATCAACATCAGTTGAGGGCTGCAACTTCACTTTTTAAATAACAATATCTTAGCCAGACTACTGTTGTCAGTGATATAAGTATTTGAAATGAACATGATTTCTTAATGTCTAGTGACATATCAGGGCCATTTTATGATTAACTGAAAGACATTTCTTACATACGGTTCCTTTAAACACTGATTAGCAAATATAAACAGAAGCTCTACTGAACCTGCTTGACGTGCGAGAACAAACCTCATTGGTTCTTGTGAAAGCTCAAACGTGCTACATAACACACAAGAATGAACCTCATTGGTTCTTGCTGAAGCTCAAAAGTGCTGTGCAACAACGTGTCATGCAACAAGAATGAACCTCATTGCATGTTCTTGCATGTCAAGCAAACATGTTCAAGCTTCCATTTCCTACAGTTGATAAATGTTTATATGCAAATATAAGCCTAAATTAAATCTGTTCATCATATAAAGAGATCTAGTCTTCATAGAAAATTTTGTACTAAACCATTTAATTCATATGGATTAGTTTTATGATCTCTTTATGAACTTTTTGAAGCGTCAAAGTGTCATTTGCATAGCGGTCAATTGAGGGAAAGAAATCTCTCAGATTTCATCAAAAAGATCTTCATTTGTGTTTTTAAGATGAATGAAAGTCTTACGGGTTTGGAACAACATGAGGGAGAGTAAATAATGACAGCATTTATTTTTGGGTGAACTATCTCTTTAAAGACTCGTTAAAACAACCTGATCAATGCAGTTTTCTGTCCTGTGCCAACTTTTCTTTTTCTTAACTGTAAAAAACAGTTGTGCTTCTTAATCTATATGGAAAGCAAAATGCATCTTTTTCTGGATTCTTTGAATTAAACAAATGTATTAATTTCATAAAAAAATATAGAAATAAATTATATTAAGCAGCACAGCTGTTTTGAACAGTGATGATAATTTTACTGACCCTAAACTTTTTAACACCAGTGTATAATACAGTGCAGAGTTGAGACGACTTACTATTTTCCGCACGTGGCTTAAAGCGCTGCCCTCTTTGCCTTTACAGTTGTCCACTTGGTATGGCGGACTGATGACCACATCATCCATCACTAGGATGTTTTTCTCCTGCCATTTGCAGTCTTTGATGCTGCGGATAAAGACGAGGAGGAAGAACGTCAACGATTCATTCTGTTCAAGGTAAAGTTGCTTGATATAATCATATCTCTTAATTGACGTACAATTCTGAGGATCGTTCACCATAATTAAAAACACAACTCTAAAGCAGAACATGATAGATCCAGATATCAATTTCAATTAGTATAGACTGTGATCAGTGTTGGGTAAGTTACTCTAAAAAAAGTCATTTATTACTAGCTACTTATTACATTTTCAACGGTGTAATAAGATTATTGTATTAATTACTCTCGAATTAAACGAATAGTTTTATAATATAAAACTGAATAAAATATTCTTGAACTGACCAAAGTATTTAAAGGGAATAAGGTTAAATCCACTACTGTTTTATATAGAATTACTCTATAATATATACAGTATTTGATGCAATTGCATCAAAAGTAAGTAATTAAACGACAGAAAAATTCAGAAAAAGAGTCCCTTTATTGAATTGCGGAAAAGCCCAAAGGTTAGCCAATTGAAAGTGAACGCATCAATTCGAGTCTCACTTACGTTTTATGAATGGTCTGGAACAGCAGTTGACCCTCTACAGAAACACCAGCACTAATTGCATAAGCTTGAGACAACTTATCTTCCTTTTCCGCCCGTGCTCTATTCACAAGCTGAAAACAGCAATGGAGAAAAAGACGACATGAATTAGAACACCTTTCTTAATCATAGATTACTAGATAGCAGAAGAAAATTGGACGTAATTTGCGCTTACCTTGCTAAAATTGAGAGTTGCTAAAGGGGGAGGAGTTTCAGCACGGTCACTGATGATGTCCACTTCGGACACATAGGCCAAGTTAACAAGCACCACATCGCTGAGGTTGGGTTTACCACTGGACGGGGCACATTCTGATACGGTCAAGAGTCAAGGTAGTTGTTTGGCAAATGTGTATTTATTAAAGCAATGTACGAGATAGAAGCCTTCTAGATGGGTATTATCATGGGATCAATGCTGTAGATCAGCTGTAAGCCCTACTTTGTGTATTTCTCCACTCCAGTTTCATGTTTAGAATCTCATGTTAACAAACAGGATTAAATAACATGAATGTCTGTCATTTAGGAGATGAGTGTCATGGTGGAGGCTGCATACTAACATGACAGTGTAATCAGATACGAGTCGCATTCAACTTGGAGCGCGCGAGGACAAGACAACCTGTTACTCAAATGGCATCACAGCAATAGCAAACCACAACCATTTAACGATACAATCAAGTCTCGCCCCCGTATTCTTTCTTATTCGAGAAGCCGTTTCCAGTGGCTACAATAGGGAAGACAATACTATTTGACAAAACCAATTTTTATGCCGACTTTAAAGGTATTCAGATATTTTTGAGAAGATGTGCAATGGTTTAAACATTAAAATCAAAACCATCATCAAGTCTCCATAAACCACTGGCTTTTTATGATGTTTTATGTAAACAATTCTTTTTAATACTTAAAACGGGAAGAAAACCAAAGCAGCAAACTAGTGATGTCGGCAATTCGACACTATATTAGCTGTCAAGCTTTATGAGTGCTGTTGCATGACTGGATTTGTAGCATTTGTGGGGAAACGGTGAAAACGTGAGTAAAACAAACGATCATCTTGTCTAGCCCTAAAACTAGTATAGTTTTTGTCATTGTTTTCTTAAAAACATCCAATTATACAGAAAATAGGATGGTAAATATTTAATTGATAAATTGTCTGTCAATACAGTATGTAGCAATATAATATAGTGTATGATTTTACCCCAAAATTAAACTGACAAAATAATTGCAAATTCACGTTTCGCTGTGTGGAGTCCAGTTGTTTCTGTGAATTGCAGAAATCCATTTGCCTCTGTGTGTTCTGTAGCTTTCGGCAGGCAGTAAAAATATACCTCAGATTACTTGTCAAATCTAATTATAGTCAAATTTCAAAGCTCTTTTCCATTTTAGATGGAATGGCAGCACATCAGGAGGTTAGCCATCAAACCAGAGGGAACTCTGCAATTTTTTTTTTCTAATCAATGCACTGATAAAACTAAGGCATGGAGCTAGGGAAAATTATATAGTTTGTGTATAAATGCAGTGAAATGATCATTTAGACGCACACACCACAGTGATTGTATGTTAGAGTGCGCATTATGTGTCAGGCAGAGAAACTCGGATGTTAGCGTTGAGGCTAGCTGACGCCCCCTAAGCACGCATGCGCAGATCTGTGTATGGGTGAGCATCAATGCTGTAGTTGACAGCCTGTCCACCCCTCTTTCACTTCCATTATGCTCAGGCCGGGACTGCAGTTGCAACGATACTACACATAACATGCCGAAACCCTTCATTTTAAGTCAGAAGCATCCTCGTTTTCGAAGTTGAATTTACCAGACTTTTCAATGACCTTTCCAGTAGCTTGAGATTACTGGATAATATGGCTAATTCACTAAAGAATCATTCAGACCGATTTATGAACCAGTTCGACTGAGTGAAAAGAATGCGCGAATCAAATCCTCTAGTCCACCTATGTGCACCGACTCGTTGTTCGCTCTCACAAAAAGCTGAGAGCTCCGTTTATTTATAATACATACGTCATTTTATATTTACGGTGGTGAAAGAATTATTGTGTAAATATGACAAATGACCATACATTAAAATGACAAGGACAATAATGAAAATGGTTAACCATATAATTTTGGTCTGTTTTGTCACTTTCCTCATAGTTTGATACCCAGAATTTTACTAAATTAAATTAAAACTCATTTTTATTATTCATAACCAAACAAATTTACTTGCAGCTTACAGCTGGCGTAATGATGTAACCCACAGAAAGGGGCAGCGAAACGATTCAAAAGACTCGACTCACTGAATAAAAAAAATCTCCCTCAACTAAAGGAATGCCAATCAGACATTACCTCGACTTTGCGAGCGTTTCATGCTCAACAACAGAAATGAGCACCACTAAATAGACAATATACACAGCACAACTAGACAATTAAATACAGCATTTGCTACATTACAGCGCACTTTCAAAAGATTATTCATATTTATAGATATTTCAAGGTGTTCTACGAACAGGACACCTAGGCCTAGTATTGTTCGTCGTCTGAAACACCATATTGTTTATAGTACACTAACACATTAGAGCTAAATTTCGTCCACAATTTGTGTTTGATTGACATAAAGAAGATACTACACTCACATGCTACGAACTAAAGAGCACGAGAGAAAAATGTAATAACCAATCGGAGATTCAAATTCGCACCACCTGACTCGGCATGCGCGAAACACGGAAGCGAACGCCGAGTGGACTTACTTCACCGTAGTGAAAATATCTTTGGCATACCCGCAGACCAGGCCTCTTGCAGTTGTGGATCCCGACGATTCAATGACAAGCTGAGACGACAAAAGGATACTCAAAGTCAGCATCTTGGACGGGTAGTCAAAAGCGACGACCTCTCCTTGCAAGCGCTGCCCCAGGCAGGTGAGGCAGGAGACATGGCTCCCGACGCTGAAATACTCCCCTGGTCCAGGAGCCGCCATCTTCTCCGCCAGGAAACGGGAGCAGTCGACTCGCCTCACGTAAACACGCGCAGCCGCGTCAGCATGGGTGGGCGCGCGAGTGGGCGTTCCGCGGGATGAATGAAGTGACGTGAACCGGGCGCTGCAATTGAAGCCACGCCCGCTTTACTATGGAGTAGTAGATCATGAATATCTTACTACAGTGCAAATACGCCCTCATTTAACCACTCATCACTTACTCATCTCCCTGGTTTATAGGCCAACACAGGATTATTTTGAAATTATAGGAGAGCCAGTTGTTACCTTCTATGACCTAAATCAGAGGTTTTCAAACTTTTTGATGCTCCAAACCCCCAAATATGATGGCCTGCTTTTGAGGGACCCCCTTTAAGGCAGTTACATTTATTTTTTATGAATAAAGACCCTTTTATACAGTGGAAAAAACATTATAAATGTCTAAATCAGTTTACATTTAATATCATTTTACATTACATTGCACCCGTTTTCTATCCACAATTAAAGTATCAACATAATTTAAGTGGATCAAAAAAGCATTGTTTAAAAAGAACGGGTATAACTTTGAAATATATATATATATATATATATATATATATATATATATATATATATATATATATATATATATTTTTTTTTTTTTTCCACTGAACTTTCTCATGTTTGAAAACACCTAAAAAAACTTGTATCTCACACAAACAATATTATATTGTCTATTATGCTACAGAAAAATATAGTACCAATGGAAATATTTACTCATAAAATACATTAGAATATGACATAACAATATAAAAAAATAAATTTAAAAAGTTTTATAAAAAATATATTATAAATCTAATAAAAAATACAAATAATAATAATAGTAATAATACATTATTGACAATTATCAGTGATTTAATTATTTTAAAGAAGATTGTAATATTACAAAATCTTAAATATACGAATAGAGACAAGCTGAATGAAAACAAATGCATCAGGGTTATGTTTAGCTTTAAAATGAAATATTTGTCACAAATATCCATGCATCAATTTGAACCCATTTAAGACAATAAGAAGAGCATATAAATCTAGACAACAATGCAGGAAGGGCAAAAGACTTATTTCACAAACTAAATGTCTTGTCCAGTATATGTATCACCAATGGCCCAAAGGTTTCCTAGTAGTAGCAGTTCATTGTTGCATAAAGATATGACAAAAAACCCCCGCAAGATTCAAAGGGACAGCAATTTTTAATGATTAATAGTCACAGTAATAGATTGCTCAAATAGCGTGTATTGCACATGTGTACACATATATGCACCCTATATACACGTGTGTAGCAGTTAGTATACACACCTTTGTATTGTCGCAACATGAAAGCATTGAAAGAACACAATAAATCAGGGAATGTGCTTTGATAATTTCAGATAACTTCTGCATATCAATATGACCAGAAGATAGACAAAAAAGAGAGGAGATTAGAGAGAGAGACAGAGAGAAAGGATCTTAAAAATGTAAGGTTAAAAGGTCTCACAAATTGAAACGACCAATCACAACAAGTGATGTAGAACAGCAAAGAAACGAAGGGACAGTGAAGGAGTCACAACCTCTCTTTCAAAAAAGTCAAAAAATATACAAGCACTCTTTGAACCTCGACGATCATAGGTCACAACATATACACAACATATGAATTATCAATAAATATACATATTTACCCAATAGCAAAATATGTGGCAGAGACAGTAAAGCTATCTTCCATGGCGAATGTCGATGTCTTTTACACATACAGAGGTTTCCCGGTGTCCGTCGTAAGGCCATTCACGTTGTTTTCTTTGTGTAAAGATCATTGCGTAAAACCAACAGCCTCCCCTCAATGCCTTGTTCAAGAAAGCTGTATTACGTCTGATCGATTATTTTCCCTCTCTATGTATTGCTTAACCCAACACACCCGAGGGGAAGGTTCAGGTCTCAAAAAGGGACCAACATGCCAGCTGAATTCATCCTTAAAACTAAAACGAGAGAAAAAGCTTTCGCCACCAACTGCACGGTCAATAAACTCTTTGACACCATATAGGGTGAAGATACAAAACTATGCACAAATGGTTGGTGATCTACATCCAAACGTTACAAAACCTGATCATCACAGTAGTTCCTGATTTAGACAGCCACATAGAAGAGGGAAATTCTCTTAGTGTATATTACAGTATCTAAGTACAGAGGCTAGCGTCAGCCTGATTTTCACAAAGTGTTTGTTTCCTGTTTCTCTTTAACCGCGAAACAAACAGTCGACTTTAGTGTTTCAAACATACAGTTCGGACGTCTAAATACTTTATCCAATGGTGACATGGCTCTTCTTAGAGGACTGTTGTTGTGAAAAAACTGGCCTTTTTTCTTTTTTTTTTTTGATCACTTTGTATTGTTATTGCCTTGCAGGCTACGAGGCTGTCAAAGAGAAGAGACAAAATGCAGGTACTTAACTTTTCGTAGATTTACAACGAGACAAGCATTGATCCAGAAGCAACGCAACTTGCTTTCAGCAGCCATTTCTGACTCCAAATAAATAAATCAAATGAGAGCAGAGTCAAGAAACGCGTCGCTTCAACTGAAATCAACAGTTCATCGGTGAACCAATGAACATACACAAAGAAAAAACGCTGACGAGAGAGTTTACGTGTCATTTAAACGCATTTGCTGAGATAAGTCACTTTGCTTTTAATGCCTCATAATTTGCGTCTGAGAACCGAAAAACAAAATAAAAACACAATTAGGTTCGGACCTACAGTGTAGAATTAGTGCACAATGTTTGAGACCCAGTTCAGTCTCACTGAAAGTACTTGCCATTAGACACGTTGTCACCTCTCAGACCGAGTAATGTTGCTTCTGTGACATTGCTGAATAAAGACGCAGTAGATTAAATCGAATTTGGCCCCCCAAAACTGTTGTCACACAGTGAAAATGTAATAAAGGATGATTATTTCAGGGTCATAAACAAGCCATTGCATTTCATCCACAAGTGCACAAGTGATTAATCAGCATACAACAAACTGTTATGAACAATACTAATTAGTCTGGTGAAAAATAACCATATCCATAGCACAAAAGCTATATCAAAAGATGACCAAAAGGTTTTAGTATTTCAGTATTAAACAAAAAAAAGTGGTAGCCTAGTCACTCTTATTGCCGGAAAAAAAATATCCTTAAATCCTGAAAAAGGACAATGCCAAATGCACTGCACAGTGACATAAATCAACATCATCAATAATATCTGTACCACGCTGTACATTCCTTATCAGAGAATACTTCAAATCAAACGATGAAATTAACACTGACTCTTTTCTTGTTTTCGTTTACATTTTTGTACAAAAAAAGGAAATGTTTTAATAAAAAAAGTCACCGCTAACACTCTCTCGCCAATGGAAATAAAGTGTAAGGGAGCCAAACAAATACATGTATAAAGGAAGGTGGCGTTAATATAAAGAAAACAAACAGGAAGTTGGTCACGACATTGTCAGTGTTTCCAAACGAATCACGTCATGTGCTAGTCTATCGCACAGGACTGATAAATAAAACAATCGTTGAATTTCGTTCTTTCGTTAACAGTGAAATAAAAAAGGAGGAGTATCAAACCCTTTTTCCAAGAACACAACATTTACATCTTAAAAAAAAAAAAAAAAGGAAAACAATGAGAAAGAAAGAAAAGAAACCGGGGCAGAGAGGAAGATGATAATCTTTTTGTGCTGCTCTGTGGTTCATGGCTGAAATTACTTTTCTTTGAAAAATTAAGGCAATTTGAAAATCAACACAAATCAATGAACGTTAACTCTGAGGATTTGCGATTTTTGTTAAGTATTGGTAATGTTTTCCTTAGTATAAAAGGCACCAAGTTCTTTGAAAAAAAAAAAGAGGAAGTCTTTCTTCAGACATTACCACAACGCGTCTTTCCTCGTTCTCCACGAAGGTCGAGATGGACGCTTTGAAAATCCTTTCTCCGTATTTTACACCTTTGTCGTAAAACGGATGGGTTGCCGTTATTTAAGTTTATGTGCGAGCATGTTATAGCAAAGCTGTATATTCCAAAAAAAGTACTGTTTTCTCTGAAAAAAAAAAGGAAAGAAATGCTTCTGGGAAAAAAAGGCTAACCATCGCTCTTCCACTTCCAGATAAAAGTCTGCAGGCGCTTTTACTCTATGTACAACCACAGCTGATAAGAAAATGTTTCATAAAGGAGATATAAAGTATTTATATATTTTTCAGTGTTCAATTGTGTATACGGTACACACAAAACACATATGCTTATATGTATGTATGTATGTATGTATGCATGTATGTATGTATATATATATATATTTATATTTCTCATATGTTTGTGTGCTTTTCACAACAGGTTATCATACAGATGCAAAAGTATACCAAATAATCGACACGGTACAGTGTAAACGAGTATACTTGTCTGCAAAAGGTGTTTTGTCACGACCTGAACATCTGGTTCCTCTTTTGGGAACCATGTTCGTTTGTGAATGAGTGTATATGCGTGTTTTGTGCTGAAGTATTTTTGCTGCTTGTTGGCTTTTTTTTTTGGAACTTTGTACATTTCTTATACTTTGTACAGAAAACAAAGCTTATTTCGCGGCCCTCCGAGCAACAACATCCACATGCTGTCGTGTCGTTTTTCCCTTCCTCCTCCTCTACTTTTTGTTTTGTCGCATTTTCTTCTTTATGTCCCCAGTTCAATACAATGATAAATTGAAATATCAAAGGATTTTCTCTGAAGAGTACTCCATTGTTCGGCCTATCCAGCTGAGCAACCCTCACTGAGTGGTCCTGCAATTACCCATCATGCCTTTGCCATCCCCTTTCGGCAACAGTTTGCTATGCTTTACCTCGGAAAAGCGAAAGTGGGTGGGCTGTGAACATGTCAGTCAAGCACCTGGAAATGAGTGAAGGACCGAGGGAACCAATCAAAGAGCTGGGAGGAGGAACATGAGGCGTGACGTCAGGGTGACCAGTGCCAAGCACACGTGGACGAGAAGGTTGGAGCAGTGATGTACTTTACTCGCTCTTCTACAACACGGGCTCCTCCTCCATTGGCTCCTCTGCAGATCTGAGGAAGAAATAATTGGCTAAAGTTATATGTTAAACGTTGGTGTATAACAACAGACTGGACTCCAGTTGCGATACCTGCTGGTTTCTGTGGAAGTCGTTTGCTGATCGTTGTCCACTGTGAGAGAGGCCATGGCGGTCAAAGTGTCTGCCTCGTCCTTCTCTCGTCTCTGAGCGTCCAGGAGGGACTGACCCACTGTAGGAGCCAACCTCTGCAGAGATGTCCAGTGTTTACCTGCAGGTCACAAGAAGATAAAGAAACAATGATCGGCAATTACATATCAAGACCTCAAAACTGATTAACGTTAACATTTTCTATGCTATGTCTGAACAAAAAACAAATAAGCTTCTAATAAACATTAAAGGCACACTATGTGATTTTTCACTTATTTAAAAAGGCATAGCTTGATGATGCTTCGATTTTGCAGAATCATGGGAGTTGTTGTCTTCACCTCTACAGCCATCCATGTTCCATGTTCATATTGATGGCTAATGGCCACAGGCCGCTTCAGCTATTCCAGTCATGTGTATGTGGAATATGTGGATGTTTTATCATATTAGATACATTTGAGTGGGATGAAAGTTGTTATAATGCTACTCTGTGCTTTCACTCAGCATGGTTTCTACGAAATAAAACTGGAAATCGAGGGTAACACCATACCCGCGTTACCCTCGATTTCCAGTTTTATTTCGTAGATGACATCATTGTTACCCTGGTGTTACCCTCAATGACATCAACGACACCAATCAATGACATCGAGTTTATGATGTCTTTGGGTTTAAACATTCTTAGAAACGTGGGATAATGCAAGTACACAATTCAACAAAATATATAACATTGTTCTAGTGGTTTTTGGATATTTTAATCCAAAAACATCTTACATGGTGTGCCTTTAAAGAAATTTCTAAATATAAAACCCTACTTTGAACACACTTTCCCAGGGACTGAATGTAGAAATTAATGTAATTCTTAACCAAGTTTCCTTCGGTTTCTCACTTACTCTGAATCTCAATGACTCTCTCTAGAGAGGCTGTTGCTTTTGGACACGGTTTCTGTTGAAGTACCATTAGTGGCAGAGGATCCAACTGCAACACACACACATACACACACACACAAAACATTAATAGATCAAGAAATAAAATAATTTAAGTTTATTTCACCCGCAGGAACACTACACTACTACTTGGTTAACTTCAAAGTCAAGGACCTTTTAAGGACTTTCCAGTTCCAACACCCTCAAATTCAAGTACTTAATGTGGGGACAACATAGTGTAGATGGGAAACACTTAACGTAACGCATAAATGTGAGCAACTGACGTAAATCAAGCAAGCTAGTGTGCATAGGCCCTGAAGTGTAGGTGAAATAACACATTAGCAGACCGGAGGGAAAAGCTCTTGCACAAAATAAATTCAAGCACTTTCAAGGACCTGTATCTATTTCAGAAACTTTCCAGGGCCTTGAATTTTGTTTTCAGATTCACAAACTTTCAATGATTTCAAGGATCCGTGGGAACCCTGGGATAATCAACTATTTGCGGTGAGAAGTGCACGTCCAATGGACACAATCCCATGAGGGGAAGAGAGAGTATTTGTAAAGGGCATTGAAGTGAAGCAACTCATTCTTGTAGGTCACATGACAATGACAACATGTCAAATGTAGTTCATCTGTATAATACTCATACTACACACATTTAAAGTAGTACCAACTGTACTCAAAGAGAGTATGTGACTTATTTTAAGCTATTAAAAGCTCATGTTCTGCTGATATTGACCTTACTGTTTTTATGTTTAGGGTCCCAGAGACACCAATGATGCGTTTAAAAATAATAACAGCAATTTTGAAATAAACTTATTTACTCTACATGATCTTTTAATATGTACCCCTGGTATTATTAAATGCCAGCAGACAGATATTATTTAAGATTTAACCCTTTGTTTTATCACTGAGTCCCCAAAACAGAACATGAGAATTAAAATAGAGCATCCTATACAATCCTATCGTGTGCTAGTTGAATGTGTGTGAATGAATGATGGGCACCTCGTCTCCAAGCAATGCAGCCACGCAGGATTCAGATGCGTCACATATGGCGGTAAGGTCGTGACCTCCTTCCAGTGCCAAAACCACACGGCCACCAGCCAACTTCATCAACTGCTTAGTGAGATGGCCGAAACCTATGCAGAGAGCCAGGAGCATGCTGGGTGATTCATGAACTATAAACAAACTCAAAAGCCTTCATGAAAAACCTTAAACGCCCCCAATTTTAACAGAAATGCAGGTTAAAAGTGAAAAAGACTATAATTCGATCAAGTCAATATGGTCTAGTGGTACGACCAGTATTACAGCAATATTTACTGACCTAGAAGATCTTAGGTAGTCCTTGTATGACTGCATTTTAAATAGTCTTTTATGTGTATAATACAACCCATCTATGCAATTAGGGGGTACAAATTTGCCATCTGACCTCTGGTTCTGGAAACAGAAAAACAGCAAACTCACATTTGGCGGTGACGTTGTATCCACCGAGGGGGGACTGGTGGCCCTCCACTGCATCAAAGCCGGCTGACACTAGCACCACATCCGGGGAGAACTCGTTGGCTATGGGCATCACCACCGTTCTACAAGCACACAGACAGGAAGTGTTTGAACTACAAATGATCTGCATAGCTCCTCAAACCATGTAATGTGTTCAGAAAAAAAAAATGTTTTTAATGTTGAAAGAGAGTTATTTTTAGCATTTTCCCCCCAAGTGCATGTCTCACCTGAAGGCAGTCAGATACTCCACATCACCCATAGGTGGCTCCACTCCGCCAGTCCAGGCAATGTTGACGTTAAAGCCCTCTCCTGGACCCACACCTACCTATAAAGATCCCATGAGAAAACCAGTTTTGGTCATATGCTATAGGAAGATTCACAAATTAAAGGGATAGATATTTTGAAGAATTTCATTGACCAAACAGTTGATGGATCCCATTGACTTCCACAGTATGTTTTTTTCCATACTTTGGAAGTCAACACCCATTTTATTACCCATATTCTTCAAAATATCTTCTTTGTGTTCAGAAGAAAAAAGAAACTCATACAGGTTTGGAAAAACTCGAGGGCGAGTAAATGATGACAGAAATTCAATTCATTGGGGGAACTATCCCTTTAAGCATCTTCACACAGTGACTGAAATGTTGTTACCTCCATAGGAGCGCCACTGCCTGGGAAAAAGTTGCCATCGTCATAACGGTGCAAGGAAATGTACAGTACATTGGGGTCATTATAAAAAGCCTGCTGGGTCCCGTTTCCATGGTGAATATCCTATGAAAAGAATTGAAATCTTTTAGAGAAGATTTTAATCTTCTTATTCATCAAAATTAACACTTTAACATCACAGGAGACTGTGTATCGCATGGAGCTCACCCTAAAAACTCACCCAGTCTATGATTAGGATCTTGCCCACCCCGAGTTTCTGCTGCAGGAGTTTGGCAGTGATGGCCACCGAGTTGAAGAAACAAAAACCCCTGCCAAGACACACACAGAGCAGTGGACTCGTTTATGTGAACGCACATGAATCATTTATACAGTACATCTAGATATCAAACATCTGGCCCCACACAAGCATAACATAAAGCAATCCAATGTTCAACATGTGGGGATGTTTATGTAGAATAAACATGATAAAGTAAACGGCTTTAAATGACATTAAAATATTTGAAATGAAACATTCTATACAGACTCTCAATTTAAGAGTGGTTTCAAACTACTTACATGGCAGTGGATTCTTCAGCATGATGACCAGGAGGACGCACCACCGCAAAACCGTTCTAGCAAAAATAGAAGAGAAGGAAGAACAGAAGAAAATGAGATGTAATATAAGCAAATGATATTTATTCCAGCACATCAAATATACACAAATCCGTGGTAAGAGAAGTGAATATGAACCTTCAGCTCCCCAGCAGCAACTTTAAAGGCCAGCTCGATGACGCAGCCCACCGCCATCCGGACGGCACCTGACGAGTGCATCTCGTTCCACACTGTGTCGCTGTCCACCTGCAGGACATAAAATCATGTTACATATCATTGTTTTAATGATCTACAGTCACAAACTGAGGAACTCACAATTGATCCTATTCACTTCCTTAATAAATCTCCATGGTTTTATTGGGGACAATTCATTAGTGCAAAATTAAGTATGAACATCAATAATAATTATTATTATTACTATTTCAATGTTTTTATTTTTTTATTTTAATATTATACTTAACTAATAGTGAGTATTATAATTATTATTTAACTTTTTAAGTATTTTAAACAATTGAATATAATAATAATAATATTAATACATACAAATATTATTATAAAAATATATTATTATTATTATATTAAATTATAACATTAAAGTAAAACATTATCATTAAAGGTGCACTATGTAACTTTTTGTTTAAAATTTAAAAAAATTAAATAATGAGTAAATACATAAGCAAACCTTCCAAAATTATTTTTGTCTTACCCTGATTCACTATGGTAAGCTTATTATAATTATTTATACTTTAGACCGAGTGGGATGGTTTTTCACAGGAAATTGCGTACTTGCGTGATTCGTTTGAGCGCGTCTCATCATATCCGTAAATAGAGAAACGTTTCTCCTGCTACTTTGACACATTTGGGAGTGGCGTAGTTTAGTCACAACGAGCGAGAAAGATTAACATGGTGCAGCTAAAACTTGAACCTTCAGAGAATCACTCATTTAAAAAAAAGGCAGAACAGAGGAGGGTCTGCTGGCAAAAGGAGATTGCAACAAAGCTCGTAATAAAACCAAAATCAACATTGGCTTTTCGGAGATGGTAAGAACCGAAGGATTTAAACTGTTTGAAATCACATGTAGATTGCGTTTTTATTATTCAGGTGAGAAAGGTATTTTATTGGACAGATAAATTGCCATATGTAGCTAATAGCTATATAACTGAGTTCATTGTAAAGCATTATCTATCGTGAGTGTCATTTCATTAAACAGTCACGCAGAGCAGAAGCACAAACAAAACAATGTTCTTCTGAAAAATGCATTTCGTTTTGTTTTTTACTGCTAGAGGGCCAACAATTACATAGTGTGCCTTTAATTATAATATTAACAATAATAACCAAAAATAATAATATCTACATTTCACAATCCAAACAAATCCAGATGTATTCTGTTTTGTTTACACATAAACAAAGTACATAGAGTTAAATGCAACGTGAATGCCATTTCATTCTTTATTATATGTAAGTTGGACGAATGGACAGAAAAATGGAAAAACGTACCCCAATGCCTCCACACGGTAGGACAGCGTACATTTTCTGACTTATTGGGCCTAGGAAATTAAAAAAAGCTGAAAATTAGAAGCTGATCTGAAGGAGTGTTATGTTGAGGCACACATCTGTTGTTCACATATTATCTATTCAGGTAATGACATAATTGACACAACTTATTCAGTCTCAAGGATGTTCATTGGAGGACGCTGACACAACTATCATCTGTCTCACTGTTCAACAAAGAGCACTCAAGGTCAAAACAGTCCGCACTTCTTTAAATTGCGTCTCACATAAAAGTGGAGGTGGTGATGGCAATTCTGTCCGTAGCTGAACCTTCTCACCCTCACACACACACACACACACACACACTTTGCTGGTGACTCAGAAGCGGGGGTGGGCAAATGTCTAGGACCTAAAAAAAGCCTAGGCGTCTGTCAAAGGAGGTTTGCTTAAGCAACCCATCAAATAGAAAGAAAGCAAGGGAAGCTTTTTGTGGATGGTGTACTAGGAGGAGAATCCTGTTTTGGTGTCCTAAAATCAAGACGGCAGAAACTCCGTTCACACATCACAACAGAGAGCTTCTAAAGCACACCTAAAAGTTTCTTGCTGTCCAGTTTCTGTCGGTTCAGTGGACTGGTGCCGTAGAGCAGCGTGTGGTACTCAGAATGAACGGTTTGGATTTCATCCAGTGTGGCCTTCCTTCCCCTGATCCTCTGCACACAAACAAACATTAAATCACTACAAAGGGCTCGTTATCTTTACAGTTATTTGTAAAAAGTGATTTTGATTGGTAGAATGACTGAGCCATTATAAAATATTCAGCAGTTTTGTTTAAAATTGCATAATATTTTCAGATTTTCCCTTACTGACGGATCCCTGAATTACATTGTAAACAATAGCTGTAAATTTTTACCACTAAATGATTGCTTAAATGATCTTATATTTAAAAAAATATGCTGCTCAAAAGTTGTGTGCACTAAGATTTTCTCATAAATTGTGAAATATTATTATATTACTTTAATACATTTTAAAAAATGTTTTCAAAACAATTCAGCACCATTACTCCAGTCTCATGATCCCTCAGAAATCATACTAATATGATTTGCTGCTCAAGAAACCTTTTTTTAATACTGCTTAATATTGCTGATTAATATTTTGTGTAAACCGTGACGCAAAGATATTTTTTTCAGGATTCTTTAATGAATAAAACGTTTAAAAGAACAGCATTTATTTGAAATAGAAATCTTTTGCAAAATAAATGACTTTCCTCCCGTCACCTTTAATTACGGTGTCCTTGCTAAATAAAAGTATTAATTTACCCAAACTTTTTGAACAGAAAGAGCTGAATTTTCAGGTACATGGAGCGGTGTTGTTTTTTTTAACGAAAAAAAAAAGATGAGCTTTAACATGAAGCTTCCCGTTGATTGTGTCTGGCCAATTCTTCCACCCATCCAGAAGGTGGCGCACTCACCTCACAGCGACCAAGCAGGCCCGTTTCCTGCAGCCTAGACCAAACACTCTGAATGCGACCGGCGTGTTCGGGATGGATGTGTGTGTTCCCACACATGCACTGGTGCTTTAGCATGAAGGTGTCGTACACCAGCCCTGCAGAGAGAGTAAGGAAATTATTAAAAACACAATCTACTAAGGATATTGTCACGTTCGACTGATGGACAGCAGTGCAGCGTACCTGTTGTGAAGAGATGCTTAATGGGCACCTCGTTCAGGGGTGCTGATTTAAGACTAGACGTGACGGGCGACGACTGTGCCCTTCCCAGGGGTCTGTGGGGCATCCCTGTGATGGACAGGGAGGCCTGGAACACATTCAGTTGCTGCACATGCTGCTGGTCCAAATACTGTGGAAAAAGCACACAATCATCATTAATTCATTCCAGTTCAGTTCATCTCAGTTTGATTTAGTTCAGCACACTTTGATTCGGTTCTTGTCAGAACAACTGAATTCAGTTCTCTATGGTACAGTACTGTTTTATTCTTTACACTCTAAATAAGTTCAGCTCAATTTACTTCAGTACAGTTTCATTAGGTTCAGTACACGATCAACAATATTTCATGTAATTCAGTTTGAAAAAAAAAACAACCTTTTTGGAGTCACTTGAAGATCAACCAATCAGAAACATGGACACAGTCACATCAATGTAAAAGCATTTATTCAAGCATTTAAGGCCTTTAAGCACTAAAGCATCAAAAGTTTTTAAGTTTTAATTTAGCAAGCATGTAACCATTGACATAATAGATGGAAATGACCATTTACAGCTAAAAAAGGAAATTTAACAGGAAATATATGGTAATATATGATTTTTAACAGTTATGGCGTCACCTATCCGATCTCCATCAAACTTTCTTGTTATTATGACACATATGCTCTCAACATTTTTTGTTAAGTTCTGAGTTTTCCTTTAGGAATCAAAGGCTTTTGAGTGTATTCTGTTATGCCCCTTTTCTAAATGACTAAATGGCACTTTTTGTGCTTGAACCCCTAATAACAATAATAATAAATATAAAATTAAAAACAAAATTGAATGCCTTGTCAAAATTGCCTTGTTAAATATATAACTTTAGAAAATAAAGTGAAAAAAATTACTAAAAGTAAATCTCTAATCAAATCGAAAGCTACAGAAATACAAAAAACAAGAGCTAATAATAAAGAGCTACTAGTAAAACATCAGATTGACAAAAGCAAAAAACAAAATGACACAAACTTTAACAAAAATTAAAATGAACACTTATAAAACTAAATATTAACAAAGATTATAATTCTATATAAATACTTCTAAAATAGCACATGAGTGAGTGAGTGTAAAGAGCAAGTTAAGATCATAACAGACTAAACATCAGTGCATGATGTACATGTACATCAAGTAGACGGTCTGGAGCATGTCAAAGAAACCCAGCGAACATTTGCCAAAAAACAACTCAAAAGTTATTAGCAGTAAACAGCCCTAGAGTCTGCTCTATATCAAACGAGCGGAATGAACGTGTGTGCGTGAGCAGCGAGACAGCCGCTGATGCAGTACAACGTGCAATGGAGGCCCATGCGAGATGGATTCTTCTTACTAGTTATTTTTTCTTCTTGCATGAAACCTTGAGGTTGAAGTTATGTCAACACACACAGACACACACATTAATCCACAATTCCCTTCTTCATACCAACTCTCTCTTTATTCGAGACACTAAAGCTATGCAGCATCTGTCTCTCTCACTATGGCTGGTGACGGGGGCTCAATTTGTATTCAAGACACTCGAGCAGAGGCATCCACACACACACACACACACACACACACACACACAAGGATGTCGGTGGGTGTGTTTTAATGAGAAGGAAAGGCCAGCTAGGGGCCGTGACTGACCAAAGTGACATGGAGTGTTTCGTATATCGCTGCCTCAATGGTGACAGCATGTCACCATATAACAGACACACACAAACACACACTGCGGCGTGTCACGTCACCCTGGTGGGCTGTGATTGGGTGTGAAGTGCAGGGCAGCAAAGGCGGGCGGGGTCCGGAGGAGGAGATGAATCACCAAGGAGAGATGAGTCAGAGAAGGTCCATTCACGGAGGAGTATATGTGTAGATGTGTGTGAGTGTGTGAGCCTGCTGCTGCGCGAGGAGGATGCAGGCTGAATTCTAATGCTGTGCTCTTTTGAACATTTTTCTCAATGATTGCAGGCAGAGTGAGCGCAAGGAGGAGGGTGTTGCTCTTCTTTCAATAAATCCCTCTCCCTCTCATTCACTCTCACTCATTCATTTGTTTTTCCTTCCTCCCCACAACCAGGGGTTTGTTTTAAAGGACAACTCCGACGCAAAATGAACCTTTGGTCTAATAAGACATTGGTACCTAGTCAACCATTCTCTGAGATTTGTATGTATGTATGCATTTAGCTGACGCTTTTTATCCAATTGCTATATACGTCAGAGGTTGCACGCCTCTGGAGCAACTAGGGTTTAAGTGTCTTGCTCAGGGACACATTGGTGTCCAACCAACCCAGGTCATTCACACCAAAGGCATGCGTCTTATCCACTGCGCCATCACCATCCAGGGGTGCGTTTCCCGAAAGTATCGTTAGCCAACTATGGTCGCAAGTTGGTCGCAATTTCCATTGAACTCTATTGGAAAACGACGGTTGGCTAACGATGCTTTCGGGAAACGTACCCCTGACTAGTTTTTAGTGATAAAACTAGAGTTTTATCTCTAAAAACGGTTTAGCTTATGATGCTAGTATATAGGGCATAGAGTAATGAAAAATAAAAATCGCTAGTAAATGCTACTAACAAGGCTCAAAATAGTGTCCTACACTAACACGGTAACATAGTGAGGGTCCCTAGCATTGAGAACGTTGTAAGTGTACAGACCGTTTAATAAGAAGATTTTATGAAGACAGTCTACTTCGCGTAAACAGGCAGGAGCCATCTTTGAAAAACAGTCTCGACCAGGTCAAAATTAGCTCTTTTCGAGGATTATATCTGCAAATGCAAACGAATACATAAGCTGGAATACATAATGCAATCTAAGTGCCTTGGAGTGGTTTTCTGAAATGGGGAGACCATTTTTTATATATATATATAAATCAAATGTAAATTCATGTCCCAGTTACACTTAACGTTGTCGCATTTTTCATGTTAAAAAAACATTACTTTAACATTGATTTCACCAAGCAAATTGCTAACTCAAAAAAAGCCACAACTATTGCCTATGTTTTTAGGAAATTTCAAGTTTGATTTTGACATGACAAAGCGGTGATATCTAAGTGGGTGTGTTAACTGTGTTTACATACTTTTTAATTAGTATTCCAATTAACGCCTTCATTTTGTTAATTCAGACCAATTCGAGAACACGTATGAAAACAAGAGGTGGGATTTATCGCACAAACCAATCATATACAATTATATGACTTTCCCCAATTTGTTCTCAATTTTAAGAGCTCAACCTTTAAAAATCACCATAGTACACTGATTGTATCAGATGGTAAAACCATTATATTTTTTACAAGATAAGTATAAATCTAAGAATAAAAGTGCAGCTCTATGAAAATGGGCTCTTTGACAAAAACTTATTTTTTCATTTTCTGAACAAAATGTGAACGTTGCTTGCCACTAATGGCAGCACAACGCTAAGAATTGTTTTTAGCTCAGGTGGCAAAAGCTTGCCTTAAGCCTTTTCTGGTTCCTAGATGCATTAGTTTCATATCAAAGTTTAATCATTTGAGATAGGGTTTGTTTAAATCTCTAACTCAGAAGTATGAGCAACAGTAAAACCCTAAAGCTAAACACCTAAGCAAGCACCGCAAACTAGATAAACTTTTGCTCTCAGAGGAACCTCCACCAAGTCGAGTTCATTGCGTCTTCCCATCTAGCAATTATTTATACGTTTATTTTTCCCTCTTCTCGTCCGCTCCCCTCCAGCCTCCAGTGGTGAGTCACTGGTGGGAGGAAGAGAAGAGAGCAATCTTCCTCTTTAATCCCTCCTTTTCAGGGGGCGAAAAAGCTGCAATCGCTCTGGTTGAGAGGGATACCCTCGATCTCCAGTCATCAAGCCCCCGCATGTGTGTCGCAAATTCTCATCAGGAACTTGCCTACGCACTTAAGCTCTCGAAATGTGCAGTGACAGAAGCATCGGAAAGACGTTCAGATGGATCTTAAAAGCTGAACAAAAACACGAAATCCACACAAGTTTGAAGCAAAGCTGCTTGTAGTTTACTAAACAAAAAATAATAACGATAAAAAACATGTTTCATATCAAAGGAAACACTAAGCTAAGTTGCACAGGTGCATATGAATAGTGACTCATACATAGTCACTGCTCTGCCTTGCTCACTCGGCAAAAAAGTTGAAGTTTCTGAATAAGTTTTGATTGCTTTGCATGTTATGCAAAATAGAATGGGGATGGGGAACGGCAATAAAGGAGAAAGGGATATATATATATAGAAAGCTGGCCATATCAGTTGTTATTGGAATGGTAGACAAAGGTTAACAGTAGTATTAGAAGTTTAGAGGTCCTTAGAAGTTCAAGAAACTAGCTAAACCATGCAAAGTATATGTTGATGGCACAGAAAATCACATTTAAAGGTTGTGTGTGTGATTTTTCCACATGTAAATACCAATGGTGACCTATCGCAGATGATGGCTTTCAAGAAACCTCTTTGAAAACCATTTTTGCAATTCCGTTTAATGACACTAGTGCTGCAGAAATTAATACTCTTTCCCTTTAACTTACAAACAAAAGCCTCAGTATAAAAAAGGCAACACGCTGTAATTCCTCACCTGGCCATAGGGAGCGCCCTCTTCATCACATTCCCTTAGTTCAATGGCTTCATCATCATCATCTTCTTCCTCCAAGTCACTTTCTGTGCTTTCTCCCTTAAACTGGACCAGACGTTCCGAAGGGGGTGTGGTCTCACCAGAGCTCTCTTTCTGTAGCCCCTCCCTTACATGATCAGCCCCCTCCCCTCGCTCGTCTTGCATTTCTGTGGTTTCCGTAAGCTCCTCCTCCGTCTCCTCTGGGTGAGTGGGAGGCTGTCTTGGAAGCTCCACCCCTTTGGAGAGGATCTAAACAAAGGTGGGGCTCGTTAGCAACTTTTACTAAATCGTTCCAACCACATAAACCAAAAGAAGTGTTTTGCTTGAATAAATGCTGGCCAGAGCATCAAACATACCATCAGAGCTCCCTCTACCTTATGTAGCTGGTAGTGTTTCTGTTTCTCAAGGAAGTGCTGATGCTGCTGTTGCATTACGAGGTGCTGCAGGGCCTGTGGTGTTTGCGGCAGGGGCGCTGACTGAGTACGGCTCAGCGGTCGGTGCCTAGGCAACTTATTTACTGTACGCATGCTGTTGGACACTCGCTCACCCGTTACCAGCGGAGACTGTCCGTACATGGGAACTGTGGGTTAAAGATAAAGTGTGAGCTAATACAAATTCCCAGATTAACTTTATTTGGACATTCCAGTAAGTATGGTACAGAAGTACCATGACTTTCACATTTCTTTTTCACACACAATCTTCTTGGGCAACCGACATACTAACATACTAATATTAACAACCATAATGTTAGCTATATTAGCAAGTCATCAAAATGACAAAGGAAATATAGGTAAAGTATGTCCATAAGGCCTGAAACAAGCGCAAGTATTTACACTAGACATAGACTGTTCTATCTACACATGCTCCATTTTGCACGTTGCTTATTTCTTAATAGAGTCAGACCGAAATATCGGCAGGCCGATATTAGGCATTTTCCAAACTATCGGTGTCGGCAGTTACAATGGCCGATAAATGAATATTTCAAAAATAAAATAAAAACGGACGAAACACGCTTGAACCATGTCCACCAGAGGGCACTCTACACCGTCCCTGTTGGCAACACCCGTTGAGTTGGTCACGATACATACATTGCTTGAATAACAATTAAAAGAACATCCCCATCAGTTCTCTTAACTCAAATAAGCATGACAAAATTTGTGACTATAATGTCCAGTTTTGCTGCAGTTAAAGAAGCCGAGAGTGAAGCGGAATTAGCTAGTAATAATTACGTTACGTTGTTACAGTGTAGTTGACTGACTGTCCTTTTAACTTTTGACAATGTCACTGAAGTATTTCTTTAATAGCGCGAGACAGTTATAACAATGAGACGTACCATCTCTCATTGGCCTGTTATATTGAAAATGTTTTACAATTTGCTGTATGACGTAATCCATTGCTAAATTATGGCTCATCATAGACTAGCTAACCACAAAGATAGCTAATGCCACTATCAACAGTCTGTTCTATTGTGACAATAAAAGAAATAAGTTTCTTTTTAAAATGCATTATCATATTATTTTAGTTAAAACTCATAAATAACTACTAATGTTATGGAAATCTGTTAATGTTTTGTTGCGCGTTTCTGAAATAAAATAAAAAATATCGGCCGATATATCGGATTTTAAAGCCAAAAAATATTTGTATCGGTATCGGCCTTCAAAATCCTTTATCGGTCGGGCTCTATTTCTAAACAATGTGCTGTCTCAAGGGATACTACAGTGGGCATTAACACATTTTCTCTATCTATGGTCCATTTTCTCTTTCAGGTCAACTACATGCAACACGGGGAAGTATGTATCGTCCCTTGACTTCTTATTGCCAGAACAACGCATGTTGATGTTTTTACCCAAAGCAAAAAACAGTGCATTTGAGGTAAGATTCTATACGTTTTTGTTTGTACCTGCGAGAAGTGCACTCTGTTGACGAGCCTGCTCCAAGAGTAGGACGTGCTGGAGCAGCGAGGAATGGCTACTGTGGCTATTAGAGGCGGAAGGGGGCTCAGGGTCATGGGATGCCCCGGTGGGAAGGCACGTCGGTAGGGACGATGTGCTGATGAACTTCCCTGTCAGTGCCCCACCTTGACGCAAACCCTGGATTGTCTGCCGCTCTGCCTCCTGCTGGGGACTGAGTTTCTGGGGGGCCTAGAGTAGAGAAGAAGAGAATGAAAATTTATTCTGCAGACTTGGGAATAATGTTGGTTGGTTGGTAAACCTATATAAAAAACGGATTCAGGGTTGACTGTTTAAATTTCTTCTAAAAGTGTTTCTTGAGTAATATAATTTCCAATACCCAGAACAATTTAGTAAAATATGTTTAAGAGATACTGAAAGTCCTGATTAATGAATGGCATTAACTGTCCATTTGATCTAGCAGAAAGTAAAGATGCAGGTTAATTTTATACAGTTGGTTGTTTGTACACTGATCTTATTGATTTAGACATTTCTAGTGAAATGTTGAGCTGTTTTTTTGCCACTATAAGTGTTTCCATTGATTGGACCAAACCAGAACAGGTTCGATTCCATTCCAACTGCCCCGCTCTTCATCCTTTGACATACTTTTGGGTAATGAACCGTTCCCAAGACCACATTTTCAAGCAGAATAGGGTGCGGTTTAATGGTGTGCATCTGACTTCGGAAAATCAGTTCAACCAAACTCTTGAGACTAAACCAAAAGCCCTAGTGTGAAACCACCCAAATAATCTAGCAAGCCCACTAGGGTTCAGCCTACACCACTTGCAAACTCTGAATCATCTCAACTATTACAAAGCCACCAGGCTTTAGCAGAGGACACTTACCGTGATGTGTGCGTTGGCAGGCAGTCCCAGAGAGATGTTGGGCAGAGATGGAGAGGTGTAGAGGCTCAGGGGACTTGGTGTCCCATCCCCAGTCAAAGACTGATGCAGAGAACGCAACTGCTGCCGAATGAGAAAACGAGAAAAAGTCATAAGTCCCATAGGACAAACAACGAGACCTACACTTGTGTAAAGAAAAATAGCAGTACAAAATCAGTAACCTGATGAACCATTGTTATTTAGTAGTGATTTTTTCTGCACTGCAGATCATTTACTTGTAGATGTAGTCGTGTTAAAGAAAAAGAATAGACCCAACTGTCATGACATGCACACTGCTTGTTCTGAGTAATTGACTTATTAATTGAAAGGGGCGTGTTCAAAATAATAGCAGTGTGGAGTTTAATTAGATAATTCACTCATTCTGTAAAAAAAACTGTCCTCATTGTCCTTTATAAAGGAAGAAGGGAAGCAAATGTTTCACACCCTGTTACAAAATATATTTGTTAGTGAATTGCTAAGTAAAATGGGCCATTCCAAACATTCGTAATTTGAATAAAAAGTTGATTGGGGAGGAAAAAACGTATAACGAAGCTCAGCTAAAATGATCTCAAATGCTTTAAAATGTGAGATGGTCCACACTACAGTACACGAAATCCAGAGGGGGGAGTTGGATCCAGATCAAACTCCTCCCCCTGGATTTCGTGTACTGTAGTGAGGACCATCTCACATTCTGTGGACGGATGAGAGTAAAATTGTTTTCTTCGGGTCTAGTGGTCATCGGCAATACGTCAGACGACCCCGAGGTACTGAATTTAAGACAAAGTACTGTGAAGACAGTGGAGCATGGTTGCACAAAAATTATGGTATGGGGATGCTTTTCATACTATGGTGTTGGACCTATTCATCACACAACAGGGATCATGGATCAGTTCGAATACATCAAAATACTTGAAGAGATTATATTGCAATATATTACAAAGAGGAAATGACCCTGAAATAGGTATTTTAACAAGACAACAACCTTAAAGACGAGTAAGCGAGCCACATCTTGGTTCCAGATGAAAAGGATCGAGGTAGTGGAGAGGCCTGCTCAATCCCCTGACCTCAAACCCAATGAAAACTTTTGGGGTGACATGCAGTTTCTGAAGCAAAACCCAAACATTCCTAGGAACAGTGGAATGTATTTTGTTCATTCTGGGTTGAAATGCCTGTTTCTAGGTGCCAGAAGTTGGTGCCTCACAGAAACAATGGTTATGCAATTAAATATTAGTTCAGTAATTTAAAGTAAAGTTTAATCTTAAAAAGTCTTCCTGTAAAAGAAATAATGCAGACTAGATCAAATTTGTTAATGCTTTGATTTGGAATGAAATGTGTAATGTTTCCAGAACATTTGAAATCTGGAAATCCACAATTAATGAAAAAAATATTTGCACTCTATTCACTTTTATGAAGGCACTGCTTCAAACAGCACAACTCTGAGGAAAGAAGCCGTTTTATCTCAGGAAGGAATCCCAGACAAGAAGTCTCAGCATGACTTGATCACTTAAAAGCATTCTTCTTTGGAAATCCTTACTAAGTTTTGACAGGGAAAGCAGCATGTGGGAATGAATTGTCTATATTTGGGAACAGATGAGCACCACCTGAAGAAGACAACAGTTTCTGTGGCATGTTCAAGAAATGGGCAAAGCAGTTATATGGTTAAAAGGGTTCTGCGTCTGATTTTGGAATTCCTAATGAATAACAAATTATCCCAAAAAAGAGCCAAGTGAGAAATGCAGAGGTGTTTCTGAGTGCTGGTAATCCAATCATCTGACCCTAGACTTGGAGTGTAGCCATTTTCTAAAGCCAAAGAACAAAAACTAATGGATCTGCTTTACAAGGCAACATTTATTCATCCCCAAAGACACAATTTAAATCTTTCATTATACGTTGTTTATTGAGCTACGTCATTCTCACTCTGACTCAAAGGTTACGCTCAGAAAAGACGAGGTAGAGAGAGACAAAGCGGACATTCCGTGGCAAAGTGCCCTATTTGCAGCTGCGATGATGTCAGCGTTCTATTCTCCTTCACATTTATCCATCACATCTCGTGAGGTTGTACTGCTAGGCTACAAAGACGCTCTGGAATAACGATCTAACGCTATTTTTGGTGAGTGGTATGTAGCCTTTACATGCTGGACAGAGGGATTTCCTTTTTTGCTGGTCGATGAGACTGAAAAACGTTCACAGCAATAATGTAACAAATTAAAAGATACTATGCAATGGTGCATATGTTCAAGATACATAATTGCAGGAAAAAAACCCATCATAAAATACTATTTAAGTATGCTATATAAGTTAATAGTATTATTATTCAATGAAAATTTTATAATGTTAATATTATATATAAATGTTAATATCATAAATTACCCATTTTATTATATATATTTTTAATTGGATTATTTTCTATTTCTCAAAAGATACAATTATTCATAACGAATGAAAGATAAGTCTGACCTTTGTGCATTTCATGATCTATTTTGTCCATAATACAATTACATGGAATTATTTAGAATAACTAAAGAAATTATAAAAGCATAAATGACATGTAAACATTATAAATGGTAATATTGTCTGAAAAAATTATTTTGTTTTGCATTTCATAAGAGTGGTCATCCAAAATCAAACACGAACTAGCTCATTCGAATTCAGCGTTCCTCCCCTACAGCTTGAAGTCCTCTGTGGCTTTTGCACACACAATTTCTCCGGTTCTCAAGGTTAAGGTGATGCTCAAGGCTAGCTGCTTAGCATGCATGGTCGACCCCAGGCTGCTTCCTGCTGTCCATCCAGAGCAGCTTCGGCCATTCTAGAGCCTACAGACACAACTTACAGCAAGGATGACTTTCAGAACATGTGTTTTTTTTTTTTTTTTTTTTTTAGGATTAGCATATCAATGTAAGCCCAAGCCATCACAAGACTCTGTACGGTAGACTGTTTCCATAGAAACGGTGTCATTACCTAGGTGAAGCCAATTTATTGTCTTTTTTTCATCCCTAACCTTTTGTGAACCAAGGAGAGTGCAAGAGCAGAAGAGAAGCAAACGTGTTGGGGGTAAGTCTCTCACCTCAGCGTGGATGTTCGGGACGGATCCGCTGGAGCCATTCTCTGCAATGGCACAGTTAGAGCTGTTCGGAGAACTGGGACCCGAGCCAGGGGCACTGCTGCACATAGAGGACACTGAAACACACACAGATTTCGACAATCACATTTTAGCTGCATCGGTAGGAAATATAGCTGATGATTTCACAATATTTTCTGACTGATTGAACCCGTTTTAATGTATCAGCAGGATGTTAAACTGTTCCCTTCCTCCAAGCTCTTTTATCTTAACAGAACAGAAATCACACGATACCCACGTGTTCATTACTTGTGTTTGAAAAATCTTCACACTTATCATCTGACGGCAGAGGTCTGCTATTCACAGGCCATTTGAACACAACTCAGGTGCTGATATAATCTCAGAATTACAACTTCCAAGTTGAACACACACCTATCCCAAACCTTTTTATTTGTATACATTTATATAAGTTTAAATAATAATGTTTTATCTAAAGTGGAATTGCAAAATGATAAACTAAATAGTGTTAAAAATACTTTTAAATACAATAAAATATAATCAATAAATAATAACTAAACAAAAACACAAGTTGTAAATAAAAAATGCACTGAATTTGACATTTAGTTTCACTGCTGAGCCTGGGACCAAAAAGAATTAAATAATAGATTTTAAATATTTTTCAATATAATATTTTATACATATTTGGTGGCCCCTATCCTAAAATTTAGACTGCTACATATATTTATATTCATGAAAAATATATGGTAAAACTTATGGTAAAATATCCTAAATCTGGATATGTAGCTCCCTTCATATTTTAAGATAATTTTAAGATCTGTCAGATAGAGATCATCATATTTGGAGAGTCCTCAGCTTCAAAAAAGTTGTAATGCCTTCCTATCCCATAATTACCCATGAGGTTGTGCATTCTCACATATTGTTTACCTGAGATCTCAATTGCCCTTTTCTTGAAGGTGCTGATCACAGTACCATCTTTCCTTCTAAGCAGTGGGCTGCTTCTCCTCTCAGCCACCTTCTGTTTTAACCGTGAACGTACCTTCAGATTGGGCTCAGAGGCTGAACGAGAGAGAGAAAGAAAAAAGTTCAATGATTTGAGGTATCGCGTTTGTCCGTGGCACAAACGGTGCAAGATTAGCAGCACAGCAAAGTTGACTAATTACACTACGCTTGTTCAAAGTCACCAACCCTATGTATGTTGCCTTAATGAACACTACTAATGAGGCTTTGGATCTGTCGCTCTTGTGCATCAGGACCATGGACAGCAACCGCTCATCCGTCCCTGTTTCTCACTCACACACACACACACAGAGCTGTAGATAAAAGTTATATTTACAGTGTGCCGATTTTATCTCTTGTTGATTCCGGAGATGATGGGCCAAATTAAACTAATTGAAGGAAAAAGGGATTTGAAACAGAAAAAAGACAAAGGAAGTGGGGCAATTACCCGAACACGCCGTGTGTAATGCGGCTTGACCGAGCCCTGTGTTTTTTCTGGGCCCGTTTGTGCGTCACAGCCACACTAAGCATATAGAGCAGAAAGGACTTAAGTGCCTAATGCTATCAGTGACTTTAGTATGAGTTTAATTAAATTTAAAATAAATGTGTGAGACGAGGAGGAGGGGACGTGATGGAAAGACACACACACACACACACACACAAACTGAGGGCAAGTTATGTAAGGAGATTGCTGTGGTGTTGCCATAACAGTGGTAATATGGAGTAAGCTCTTCGCCCACGGTAACAGACCCGTCTGCGATTACTTTATCAGTGTGTTGAAGTCCAAGCTAGAGGGCGTGTGTGTGCGCGAGTGTCCTCCTATCCTCTGTATGTTATATGTGTGTCAGTTGTTCTATTATAGTGAGCTTTATAAAGCAGCGTGGGTGTGACAGTTTAAAAGATAGCGGTGTGTAAAAAGCAGATAGCAGATGTGTGTCTGTGTGGGAACAAACTCACTGAATCTGTGTGGGTGTTTTGGAGTATGGCTGGCAGCTATGAGAGTGAACAGCAGATGACCGGTATGAGTGTGTGTACTCAGGTTATACTTTGAAAACATCCTCACAAATATAGTCAAACGTCCAAGACATTTGAGGTGGTCCTTGGTATTTGAAACTCTCAAAATCAGGCCAAATTGTGTTTCGCTTGAAATACATTAATGCCAGTAGGTTGTGTGAGTGTTGGACTGCGAGGTAGGGTATAATAAATATCATTATTTTAGTATGAAATCCATTTCGTCACTAATATAGCCTCTAAGGTGCGCGTTTATGTGTTGGTCCACTGTTCTGATGACTCATTATGACTCACACCTGCAGACTCCTCACTGAAGAGTCTTCAACCCCGCATGCACACACACTCACCTCCTGTGACACCTCTAGGATATTAAAGAGCTCAAACTTCTCCATACAAAAACATTGTTGCCTCCATAACAGTGTCATTCATGCACAGAAAGAAAATCATCATCTGACATTTACATGCAAACACAGTAATGCAGTGTCACAATGCAGTGTCAATGTCGCAACTATTACTCATTGAAACAATTCATTCAAATAACAAAAATATCTACATTTGCATTTCCCGGAGGAAATATGAGGGCTTGCAAGGCAGCACAAGGATAGTGTTTATTGATATTATAATCCAGAAAAGGAGAAGAGAGCCAGAGGAATGGGAGACGAACAAAAGGTGACTCAGCTGACATTACAGTTGAAGCGAGTGGGCCAGTATGACATCATCATTATTTTGGCGTTACATTCTTACAGTGCAAGTCGATGGGAGATTTTCAAACATTTAACGTACCGTAGCTTTCAAATGTTTGAGGTTGGTAAGATATATTTTGTGTTTTTAAATTAAGTCTCTTATAATCACCACGGCTGCATTTATTTGATTAAAAATAGTGTACAAACAGTAATAATGTGAAATAATATTACAATTTAAAATAACTGTTTTCTATGTTAATACAGTACATTTTAAAATGTAATTTATTCTTGAGATCAAAGCTACATTTTCAGCATCATTACTCACATAATCCTTAAGAAATCATTCTAATATGATGATTTTCTGCTCAAAAAACATTTCCCATTATTATCAATTTTGCCTAATAATATATGTGAAAACCATCATCTTTTTTTAGGACTCTTCCATGAATATAAAGTTCAAATATAATTGTTGGTAAAACCTTGCAATAGTGTTTCATCAGCTAACATTAAATAACTACATCATCAGTTAACTTTAACTAATAACGCATTTCCACATTTCAACATTTATGCAATATTTATGAAACACAAATATGCAAGATGTCTACTCACCGGTCTTACGGAGAGGGAAGTCATCCTTGCCCTCATAGGACCCTAACAGCGGGGGGAGTTTGTAGGAGGGCGGTGTGCCCGGTGTGTTGCTCTGTGGAGGGGAGCTCTGCTCCAGGGACGTGTGGTGAGCCCCCCTAAAAAAACAAACACAGTCAGGCCATTACAAAGACTCATCCATCACAATGCACGAGACCCATAAACTTCAAGCATAATGTGGCTCATGCTCAAAAGCATTAATTTGGTTTAATGATGAAAAATATATGTTTTGTTTTAAAAATGCGTTTTGAATTTGGGTTTACCAGGCCAGAATAAGGCTGAGTGATATAGACTAGCAAGGTTCCTCTTACCAGCACTTCTGGGGGAAGGAATGGTTAAGTCCACCGGGGCCAGGTTCCTTTTTGCTCAACAGGAACTCCTGCAGCTTCAGTTTGACCTCAGTACTGGCGATGGCACCTAATAACAAGAGTCAAAGACACAGGTGGTGTTGGATTGAAGGAGAATGATTTTGAATCAGTTTTTGACATATATGCATATTTTAAAGTGAGTTTCATTCACCTCTGCTAAAGTCATTATCATGGATTTGCGGCCATCAGTGTGTTGCAATGCGGTTGCTAGTGTCTTCTATGTAGTTGCTAGGGCATTGCTATGTATTTGCTAGGGTGTTCTGAGGTTGCTAACCAACCAAAGTCAAAACAACATCTCTCAACAACTCCATGAAGTCTCTGTGATATTGTGGTCTCTATGTATGGTTGGTGCCCCTCCTTCAATGAAAATATATGGGCTTTTCTCATTCCGTTTTATTTTCCGCTAGGTGAAAATTCTACATCTAGTCACAGAAACGTTTTAGAGCACCTCTGTTTAACAACCTGCATTATTTTATGTTAATAGCACAGGACAAACAACATAAAGTTGTTCGAAAAATGTATTCACCTCTTGATGGAAATAACATCACAACATTTATTTCCATCAAAAGGTGCCTCAATTTTTGGTCAAGATCAAGATTGACAATGCATGGACATGATGTGTCTTCCTACATGGTTGTTCAAGGAATGTAAAGCTACACACTTCATCAATTAGAGTTGACAAACATATAAAATGCTAGAAATATAATAATCACTGCAATAATGATTCAATCATAGACTCTTAAGTATTAGCCATTTTTTGGAGGGGCAGTGTATATATTACTGGTTAAAAATAAGAAGTCAAATTACTGAGACTCTTATGCTCATCAATGCTGCATTTATTTGAACAAAAATTTTGTTGTGAAATTTAAAATAACTGATTCTATTTTAATGTATATTAAAATGTAATTTATTCCTGTGATGAATTTTCAGCATCATTACCAACATGCTAATCAAACTATATCAACTTTTGAGAAGAGACTTTTCCCACAGGTGCTGCAAATAAGTGGTGCCAACAGTAAGTGTGCACTTATGAGTTTCCATCTCTGTTAGAATACTATGTAGGCAGCTCACAAGGATTTGGAACAGATCCAATATGTTCATTTTGTGGCTCAATAAATCCTAGTACTGCACTGTATTATTTTTAATAGTTAACAACCAAAGAGGTTGTAATAAAAACAATTTGTGCGGAAATAATAAAGCAATTTGTTCCTGCTGTGCCTAAAGTACTTCAAGAATATCCATGACAATGCGTAATTATAACAGCAAACAGCGCTAAACATCACTTGCGTACTGCTCAGCAAGGTGTTTACTCATTGAACTGAAAGGTGAACAGTGCATTTAAACTATTCCCATTTTGGAAATTACGTAAATAACAGGAAATGATGAGCGGTGAACATGCCATGAAATGAGTTCGCTCGCTGTAGATCTATTGTATATAATAGATGGATTAATGAAGAGATGCATACTCTCTTTGCCCTTCTCTTTGTTCCGTAACATGAGCAGTTGTTGTTCCAGTCTCTGCTTCTCCATCTCTTCGTGACGCTGCTGTTCCAACTTCCTCTTCTGCTCCAGCTCCTGTTGACGCTTTGCTGCAAGAATCTCCTGCTGTTGCTGTTCAGGATAAAATCAGTCAAGAATCAGAGCACAAGGAGATGATGTGTCCCGAGAGGACAGCAAGGGTCATACCTTAAGATGCTCCTGTAGCTGCACTTCATGTTGGCGCGTCAAAACCTCGTGCTGCTTCTGGAACTCGGCGAACAGCAGCTGCTTCTGGAGCTCTTGCTGTTGTTTGAGTAAGAGCAGCTCGTGCTGAAGCTGTTTTTCTCTCATCGCCGGGTCCACTGTGCTCAGTGTGCTCAGACGAGGGTCTGTACGCAGATCCACCGGCCCTCCGCTACCTCCGCCCTGATCTCCTCCACTTCCCACTGGGCTCTGCATCCCAGACGGTAACAAAGCCTTCACATCCACGGCTGGAAAGAGAGCGAAACAGTAAATGAACGAGTCATCTACCAGCCATTAGAATTATGATAACTCTTTAAACCCAACAAGTGAAGCTTACATTTTACATGCACCACACGCACGCACCTGTGGCATTTAAAATCGGTCACCTCTGCCTGGGTTCAAACATGTTCCCTTAACCTCTATGCTAGTAGGACTTAAAATAGCATGTTGACACATAAACATACAACTTGTTTAGAACACACAGTTACATAAGCAAAGGCCAGGGTGCATTTGAAATTGAGAGTGTACTCCGTGGTTCATGTATGATGTGTCTGTAAATGCAGGGCTGACATTTTGTCTGTGTCTGCCCATGTTACTATAATCAGGTGTAATCAAGCTCAAATGTTGACAGGCTAGTTGACGTCTTTTGTACTCGGACCAGTTTTATCAGGGAAGGGCAGCATAGAAAAATGTCCAAAATTGTAAATTCAATGTAAAAGGGCAACAGCCAAGACTTTCTTATGGTAGGGCACTGTACTAGTAAAGAGAGGATGTGGTTATATAACCTAGAAGGGAAACCAAGGTGATGGCCTGAGGCTTGTGCTAAAAGTCAGCCCAAACAGTCACTTTCTCTCTTTTTCTGCTGTTTATTTGGTAGTACCACTACCCAAGAATACTGAGCTTCCCAAAGCTTCTGAGCAAGTCTTTTGCACAACTGATGTACTAAAAAAAGAAAACCCAACATTCCTGATTTTGTTTTCTTTGTGTTTGTTCCTCCATTAAATACTCTTTTTATTTTCACTGCAGTATGGTGGCATTAATGAGTTGCCATGGGGATAGCGATGTGTTTCCAGGCTCTTGTGCACATTAGCCTGAGCTCTCTACAAAGGCAGGGAAAGCAATCTAACCAATTAAAGGTGACCAGGTCAAAGCAGCTTCCAAACATTAGCCCGAATCCAAATACTCAACTTCAATTGGGCCCCTGCCCATTATTTCTGTGGCATACTATGGTTGAATTATGAGTAAGGAAAGCTCATTGGCTGCTATTTAATTCGTAAACTATATTAGACAAAAAAGTATAACAAAAAAAAAGAAAATAGTAAAATATTTACAAATATTGAGCGAAATTTTCAAAAGAGTTCAAAAGAACAGCTTTTATTTAAAATAGAAGCCTATTGTAACATAAATGTCTTTGCTGTCACTTTTCATTATTGCACTCTTAAGTATTAATTTCTTAAAAAAAAAAAAAAAAACATTACTAATTTCTATTCCCAATACTAAATAAAATAATAATAATCAAATTGGTGCCTGCACTGACACACAGAATGGCACAAGCAACAAAACCATGGGTTACGTTTTGAAAAAATATATACCCTCAATGTAATTAAAAGCATCTCACAAATCAATAAATGTAATGTAAATGCAGTGGGGAAACACAAGTTAGCATCTATCTAGGATAATTCATTACATTCAAGGGTGGCTTTTTTTTATTAACTGGAAAATCAAAATAACACACCTCCTGGACATGCCAAGCACACTTTTTTGCTATATACTAATAAACACATTAAGCACGTCACTTAATCGAAATAGGCAGGATGAAGTAGTATAAAGTTAGAGAGTCTTTGTGGTGTCCTTGAATCTGCAGAGACCTCGAGTGTGAGGTAGGATACCACTACGCGGGGGCCACTCACAGCTGAGAACACATCAACTCACATGTCACTCAGCCTCAACCGTGGGCTGGGTTGCCCTCCCAGCATCGGCTAAAGTTTACCAACATGATAATGATCCGATTTCTTTGCTGGATGCCTGGCGGAAGCGTTCGGCTTACATGAAAATCAGATTACTCCCCCTTCATCAGTCAGGAGCTAAAAATATCTTTCCTAGCGCCCTCAGGCTGACCAACTGTATCAAGCCATTGACGTCAGAGCATGGTCACCGCCAGGGCTACTGCTACTGTCCTCACCAGACGACTAGTCAACTAAACAATACTGCTGCAACATAAAAACTAGCATATAACAATTAAGCTTGCTTATGGGCTTGTTATACTACCTGTTATGAGGGACAACAATACCCAATAACTAAACCATGACTTGCTGACTTTTGTTGGCTTACATTTATTTGAGGAATTCTGTTCATAACAGACTGTTGAGTTTGTACTTATTGGTCCTGCACTGCCAATTGATTCAGTTTATTCTATTAAATGTCTACATTGGTTAATGTTGATTGAATGCTGAAGTTTAATGTACATTGTAATCAATGATCATAATGCAAGGCAGGCACATCCCATGTGACTTATTTTTCAGCGGGATTCACTTTTTGATCCATAGATGAATTAGGCTATTTTTAAAAGGATAATTCTTTTGACTTCCATTTAAATGTTAATGAAATTAGTCATGGCGTACATCCCTACTTATGAGCCAGTTATTTTAAGTCAAATAGACTCAGGTTAGCGTGTGTGAATTACTCTAACGAACGTAATGGTCTCCTCCACACTGCAGTGCAAATACTGCCTTTTGTATCTTTAATTCAAATATATTTTATGTCATTTTTTGTTGATAGTTCCAGAGTGTACAAAAGCAATCGTAAAATACTAGCTAAATAAATATTCCAGAATCAATGAACATATGACCGTACCTATGATTGTAAAACTTCCCCTAAGACTTTCTAAATATGTAAAGTAATTAAAATTAAGCTCTATTAATATTGAATCTTGGTTACAGCCATTACATGTTTTGTTAACATGTTTGTTCACAGTCTACCGTGTATGCAGCAGCACCACAGATAAGTAATCTGTCTAAACACAACATCTATGTGAAAGACTCCCACATCCCTAAGGAAAACTCCTTTGAGTTGATAATTAGCAAGTACAGCGACTATTAAAGACAGCCTTCCTATCAACACTTTCCTGTCCAACAAAAGACAATGGCAATTCCGTCACAGCTAATGTCTATCCTTTTTCAAACTTCTCACCCATTTGAAATTTCACCCGCCTCCAAATTGGTAGTTACTCATTAAGGACCTGTTTTTAAGTTGAAAGGAAGAAATGAAAAACGCATGAAGGACAAAAATAGAAAAGGGGGAGGTCCTCTGGGAGTGAGTCTTCGAGGAAGTCCTCCGTGAGGAGGTTGGGCAGACTTAAGGGGGTTTCCAGGCAATTTCCCTCAGAGAGCTCAGACCAAAGTGGAGTCTCGACTGATTACTGCAGCGCCCACACATACAGACAGATAAAAACAGAATAGAGCATGCATGTTGTGTACTGTACAAGACAATATAATTAGGCCATAAAAAGATAAAAGTTACTAAGACTTCTTGTCCCTTGTTGAAAAATAAAACTATTTTCAAATGGGTAAGGAGAAATAAACTCAATTTAAGATATATTATGGAAATCTGCTTCTCGAGTAAATGTAACATTTTTAAGGAGGTTTAGTACTTTTACAGTAAAGCCACACAAAAACGTAATATCCATCGTTATATTAAAATTCTGGACAATCTAAGCCAAGAATAATTTTTAACTGAAAGATTTACTGATATAAAAGTTATATACTATTTCGTCTATATAAATAATGAAAAAATAAAACAGTAAATAAATTGCTTTAAATCCAATACAAGTAAATTAAGGCATCACAACAATATACCGTATGAAAAATGAATATTCATTTCAAGATTTGCTTAATAAATTGTATTGAATTAATAGTAATTTTAAAGGGGACCTATGCAACATTCACTTTTATAAGACGTGTGTGCAGGGAGGGAGAACAACCAGCCTATAATACGGCTTTTTTTTATAATTCCCATAAACCAAAAGCAGTCTCTTGAAACGAGCTGATTCAGTTTCTCCTCTACAATGACATTATTGTAGTGAAAAGCCACGCCCACAGCTGGTGACGATCTGCCCTATTAGCATAGACACAGCCCTGAGTGAGAGAGTCCACCATTTCTATGTCCTGGCGATGTATAATGTCTGCGCCAAAGAGGCATTGCAAGTGTCGTGTTTTGGGATGCATCAATGCACATAAGAGTCTCCATAGAGTCCCGGCATGTGAGTCATTGAGGACATTGTGGTTACATTAAATTTTTGAAGGAAATGTCCCAAAGAAAATCTTTTCTAACGTTTGCACCAATCATTTTCGCGCCGGACTGCTTTACAAACCAGAGTCTTTTCAACATTGGACCATAGTCGGCTCAATAAATGTTACATGCGTTCTGAAGAGAATACACGTTTCAGTCCAGGATGGTCAATCATACATTTGTGAGTCTGCTCAAGCTGGCGCATCCGTCAATTCACCTTTACTGCAATACAATACGTAACACAAATGCAATAGCATGTCATACAAGCAGTTCTAACTGTTGTTATCTCCATGCAGCATATATCACTGGCTCTGTAGGCATTTTACAACAGTTCCCACACGAGCACCTGTACAGCGATTTATAGATTATCATGACGAAACATGCTAATCGATGACTTGAAGATAGTTAACTCCGCATCAACTATTTTAATCAATTACCATTCAGAAACGTCCTGTTGCATTCTGTATGTTGTCACTTCTTGAGTCTCTTCATCATTGTCAGACTCCGGTTCGAACATATAAGGCTAAACTCCGATACTGACAGTTTCTCCGATACTTTGACCATCTCAAGTTTTGCAAAAAGTGGCAATTTTAACATTATACGAAAAATTATCCAAAATGACCTAGGGACATCAGAGACCATCTCGTTCAATGAAAGGAACGGTAATCTAAATGTAAAATGAACATAAAAATAAACACATTTCTTTTTTTCTTTTTTTTTTTTGGCTCAAATGGTAGCAATATACCAATACGTTTTGCACACATACATACATCTATATATGCACATCTTTCCATGTTGTTCAAAGTTTTTCTAGGTGATGTATAAATGAGGACAGTAGTGAGTTTGTCCCAAAGGAAGGCCTTAAAAAGCAGAAAAAAAAGAAGAAAAAAAAACATTTCTGCTGAGGCACATACGATGTATTAGAAACAAGGTAAAAGCATTGTAACCTGACAGGATGGAA